TCCTTTTGGAAGGCATGAAGGGGTGGGTAGTCTGGACTCATCAGGTAAAGGCACCCGCCACCAAGTCCATTGAGCTCCTGAGAGAATCAAGCTATGGAACTTAAATAAGTAAATGTAAAACTGGCGCAAGGAGAGGCCAGAAAAGTCCTGGAAGGACTGTGAGGCCTTCTGAGAGGACACCAGGGTCTTAGCATGGAGTTTGCCCCACCGGACCCAATAGCACTAATGCCTAACTGCCACCCTAGCACTTCATCCCTGAGGAGTTTGATATATATATATATATATATATATATTCTCAGCTGGAGTTCTCTTTTCTCCAAACTCCGTATCCCTCCATCCTACATAGGGGTCAAAGTTCTCTTCATCACATGTCCAGCCTCATCTTCTTCTGTGTCTAGTGAGCAGTCCATCTGTCTCAGGACCTTTGTCCTCCAGTGCTAGGGACCAACTTCGGGCCAAACTTTGGACACTCATCAGCCTGATGGGTCACCCCACACTGTGGCGGGTGGGTTTCCTCTACAGGCTAAGCAGACTATTACATTTTCAGGAAGCTTCCAAATCTTGATGTTCCATGAGCACTCCACCCCTCGATGCTCATGTAGGCACCTCTGCACTTATTTCAGGGATCGAGAAAGAACAGAAAGATAGCAGCAGAAAGGAAAGTGTCCATGTTCCTGCTATGGCTTTTCATGGTTTCCATATCATTTTTATAAACTCTTGATTAAACTTCCTGTTTCTCTTGGTGATATGTACCGAGGCTGTATAATTAGTAAATGGCAGAGAGTGACAGTCAGTACGGTCCAGAAATAAGCTGTTATTTGGAGTCATGTGCTCAGCACTGGGGCAGCATCTTGCCATTGCAGAAATGGAAACATTAAAATTGCAACCGAGCGGCTCCCCTTTGGTCTCAAAGGAACAGCTCTGTTTAGAGTCCGGAGTTTATTTTACAACTGCTGCCGGGTGGTACCAAAGCAAGAGCATCTAAAATGAGAAGACTTGTGTCTGATGGGGTGAGCAGGCAGCTGGCCACATGAGGCCTTCCCTGGGCTGATTCTTTCCCTGGATTCAGCGTGCCACCACCGTCACCCACAGAACCTTTTTCTGAGGTTTATGTGCCACCAGACGGCTATTCTTACACAAAACTAACAGAGAATTCACCTATTTCAGAAAATAATTCTCCCTTGGGACCTTAACAGCAACTTTAGTTCCTCTTAAAACAAATGTCTTCTAAATCATGGGGGAAAGGGGCAGGGGCCTGCTCTCAGGATCCCCACCACCACCACCACGGCCCGCATGAGATGATCTTCGCACTGTTAACACCCGGCTGCTTAAGTGTGACCTTGCTATTTTTAAAACCTGAGAGTCTGAACAACTTCATCTCTGTCTTCTTCCTCAATCATGACTGGAAGTCACAAATAGCCCAGAGATTAGTGACGAAATCTCCCAGATTTCATCATGAGACCTTGCAATGGTCAGCATCCCGACCCGGCTCTCCCTCAGGACTGAGATCAGAGGCAACTGTCCTGTGGGAAAAGATACCTTCTAGAAGCAGCAAACCCAGGTTGAAGATCCCCCAAGCCGAAGCCCTGTAACCTCTGCCTCAAAGAGCATCTGGGGAAATCGAGGAGATAAAGAGAAGAAAAGGTGAGGGGTAAAGATGCCGGAGAAAAGGCAGCCCCCACCCCACCCCACCCCCGTGTATATAAACTGCCTGATTCTGAGCTGCTGCCTCCTACACAGTCTGTGGAAGCCTCAACCTCTTTTTGAGGTGGGAAGTGCTAGCCCCATTGGCGGTTTCTGTGAAGAAGCTGAGGGGAAAAGCCTTTAGTGACTTGCCCAGGAGCTGGGAGACCAGCCTGCCAAGGGAGGTGATATTTGTCTCCCAGGCCAGAGAGCACCCCCCAGTGGCCACCTGCAGTGCATACCCCAAATCGAGCCCCAAATTCCTCTCTCAGCACCCTGTCCTGACCCCCAAGGCCACTTGAATGGAATTCAAACCACACTAGTGAAGAGAATGTCAGCCTGATCCCAGCTCTCAACAACTCCATGGAAAACTGTGGTGGGCCAGCACAGACTTCCAGCCCCTCGGGGAGCTAGCTGTCTGTCGGTCAGATTCTTTATGTTTTCTTTTGTTTTTGTCAGAGTTTGAAGAAGTCACAGAGAATCTAAGATTTCATCCTACAGGACTGATTTTTTTTTTAACCTCCTCACCTCCGACTTTTTGAAGAGAATTTGTAATTAAAAAAATATTGTGGTGGGCTAGGCCTGTAGCTTAGTGGTGGCTGCTTACCTGGCATGCGCAAAGCCCTGTTTTGATCACTCCTAAGCACACAGTCCTGTCATGGTGAGCCGTTCACAAGTTGGAGAACTATTCCCACCACCCATATCTAGAACTCTTCATTCTTCGAAATGCATTCTCCCTGCCCCGTTAGCAGCCATCTTTCCACTGCCTCTATCTATATGAACTTGGCCATCTCAGGGCACCTTACACAAATGGAGTCATGCAGCATCTGTCTTTCTGTCACTATTTGCTTCACTTAGTTTAATTTCCTCCAGGTCCTTCCATGTTGTGGTATGTGTCAGAATTTTCTTTCTTTCTGAGGCCGAATAATAGTCCACCTGAGGTATATTCCACATGTTGTATTTGTCCACTCCTCCAGCTATGGAGTATTTTGGCTGCTTCTATCGCTTGACTACTGTCACTCTCAGGAAACTGCTATGAACATGGATGTCCTGGTATGGACTTCTGTTTCTTCCTCAAACTTACCCCCTCCATTCTCTGCTGCATTCACAGACATGATCCGTAGCCCTTTCCATGTGCCAGGTTCAGGCACTCCATCATCTGGCCTAGCGGAAAAGTCCCTAATCTTGGATGGCACAGGCTCAGGCTTCCAGTACTGTGAAGACTCAGTCAGTCTCCTCAGCAACCCTGAGACTGCGGCAGAAGCCCCTGATCTGCCTGCTGTCAGCCAGGAAACGACACCAAAGAACCAGTGTCTAGACTGGTAGACACGTCTATGAGCCTGGAGATGGGGTAAAGCCATCTCCCCACTAGACCTTACTGCATTCAACTAGCTACAAAGCCCACACAGATGGACGTTTTACTTTAATTGGCAAGATCGATGTCCCCCCACCCCCCCACACAAACAAGAACCCCTGCTAAAAATGAGCAGACATTGCATCTAAAGGCAGTTACAGGTGCTTACCTTATCTCCGTAATTTGAACATCTAAAAGAATTTCAGGTGTGAGGACCCTGAGTGTTCAGTACCGTCCTCGCTCCCCCCCCCCCACACACACACACTCTGGCATGCTCTTCTCCCATGCCCTTGACTGAGCTGTACTGTGCCTGCCACGTTAACTGATAGCAGAGCATACCAGGGCACAAGCACTCACCAGACCAACAGGGTGTGTCCCCTGGCCTCACAGCAGACGCTGCCCAACTGCTTTGAGCCTTCACCCTTGAATGCTCTCCAACGAGGGAGTGCTCAGTCCCTCAGGAGTTCCGTGACTCCACACTGGAGGACAGAAACCCAAGCCACACCCCTGCTAGAAGCTGATCCATGCCTACGCTCCACTTCCTGCACAGGTCACTTTCAGTTGCAAAAGGTACTTAAACTTCGTGTTAAAAATAAAAGGAAGAAAGCAGCCCGAGGTAGGAAGTTCGCGCCTCTGCCTGAGTCAACGAATCAAAGTACAGCAGCCATGCAAAACAGACTCTTCTGAGGGCTGCAGCTGGAGTCTCCTCCCCAGAGAGCCAGGAGTCCCTAGAGAAAAAGCATGGAGAATCTGAGGGTGTGAACAGCTGCTAAGTTCCCACTCCTGGTGGCTGTGAACCCCATCTGCTTGAAGATGTTCCTACTGGAAGTTGATACTCAGCTAAAGAAGACCACAGTCTGCAAGAGGGAAAGTGTTGCCACAAGGGAGAGGACGGAGATGTTTACAAGTTGCACATGGAGCTTGGGCTTGGAGAAGAATTCTATCCTTGATTTACAAAACCAGAAGTCCTAACAAAGTAGTTACTTCCCTTGGGATAGGGGAAGCAGGTGGTGTGGCTCTCTTCACGGCTTCCCTGCCTGGAATGGGTGACTGCCTCCCTAAATGAGGAGAAGTCTGACCCCAGGTCTATACAGCACACATACTGCTGTTATACAGAAAACAGATGCCAGATTTTGTTTACTGAATTTGGGGTGTTTCAGAACAATGCAAGCAAACTCTATAGGAGCCCAACTTCTACCAGATAACATCAAGGACATAGCCAGGGAGTTGAGCTGAGTTTAGAATACAAGAGTTGGTACTGAGGAAGGAGGGAGACCTGTCTTTCACCTGACTGATAGATTAGAACTCAGGTCCTCATGTGTGCACAGTGAACACTCTCACCCATGAGTCATTACTCTAGCCCTCTCTTTATGTTTTTTGAAACGTAGTCGTTGTATATATTCGAGGTTGTCCTTGAACACGCACACTATGCCCAGGCAGGCCTTGAACTCAGTTCTTCTGCCTTGGCCTCCCCAGAGCTGAGATGTGAACTCCCATGCCCAGCCTCAAAAGCTATTCTTTTAGACACAAGCCAACAGGTCGTGGAAGCGCTGGGAAGATTATCAAGATACCCCCAGGATGTGGGATATAAAAATCTTGATTTGAGGATTATTGAGATGGCTCAGGAGCTAAAGGCACCTGTCGCCAAGACTGATGACTTCAGTTTGATTCCTTGGACTCACATGTGGAAGGAGAGAAGCCAGTCCTGCAAGCTGTCCCCTGGCCACCACACTTGTGTCCCCACATACATACATATACACATACATGTGCACATACATACACACGCACACACATAAATAAATAAATGTAACAGACATTTGAAAAAGAATCATGATTCGTGTCCATCCCTAGGTCAATAGCATTTCTGCAGAGGGTGGCCCAAGTGAGAAGCAGCAAATAATTTTTCAAAAAAAGATGCTTGTGGTTGGCTCAGCAGGTAAAGGTACTTACTGCCAATCCTGATGACCTGAGTTCAATCCACAGGACCAACAAAATGGAAAGAGAGAAGCGACTTCTTCAAGCTGTCCTCTGACCTCCACACTCACTCACTCACATCCCCTCACACACACACACACACACACACACACACACACACACACACACACACTACATTTTAAATGTTTTGAGTAGACAGTGCCTGGGAATGACAGCTAAGGTTATCTGACCTCCTCCATACATGTGCACACTCTCACGCAGATGCACACACATGCACAAAAAACGATGGTGTCTGTTCAACTGTCAGACTAGAATGTGATTGGTGGAGGCCAAAAGACTTCAGTGTCTTAATTTAAACTAGAGAACTCATCATTTAGACTAGAAAACTCAGTTCTCAGTTGTCTTTGTTGAGAGAGCCAACAAATGGTCCCTTTACAATTGGTTCCTTTACAGTATCTGACCTAGGGAAAGCTCGGCTGCGTTCGCACACAGTGTTTCAGCTGCCATGACTGAGGGGCTGGGAAAGTCGGTCTTGCTTAGGTGACTAGTTACCCACTGGAAGAAGTAACCATCACAGTGTCACTCTCTCCAAACTGAGTTCTGTCTAGAAGAGGAGGGGACAGGACAGCAGCTTGCATGAGAAGAGACTCCGGACTGCATCTCCAGCCCCACAAGAACCAATCAATCAATCAAGAAAGGAGAGGGGACTGCAGTCTCACAGTGGTGACAGACACAGGGATACACCTCAAAAATGCTGTTGAGTCCTGAGGAGAGTGGGGTCACAAGCCTCCTTCCTTTTCTTCTTCTGCCTGGTCTACCCCAAGGCTACTTCTGCCTTCTCCCCGCCTTTTTGGTAACACTGAGGTCTGTGCCACCAGGAAGTGGCCCAGATGGGTGTAGTTGTGTGGGGATAGACCCTCACCACAGAGGGAAGGCAACATGTAGGTAGATAACACGCACAGAGCCCTGGAAGCTCAGGACGTTCAAGGGCCAGAAAGGCTGCCTCCTTCCATCTGTAGCACCAGTGGACACCAGTCTGATAATGTTTCCTGAGAGAGCTAAAACTGCATAGTGCAGGGGGACAAAATCATGAGCAGGCTTGGCCAGAAAGAGTTCTTCTTGGCCTTCCTTTAATGTGTTCACCAGAGACAGGTGGGAGTCCCCAGTCTCCAAATCCTAACAACATATGGGTTTCTGAGCCATTCTGCTTTTTTGCCAAACCCATATGCGAGGAAGGGTTTGCTAAGGTCATTTCAGCTTTTGTTCCCTGGCTGCTAGGATTGCCCACACTGTGGTCCATTTTCCTATGGTGTCCCCTTTTCTTTTTGGTTGTTTTATCTTCCATGTGTTGAGGCTTTGTGTGTTTTGTGAATGCCCTAAGTATTTTTTCATTTTATATGTAACTTTTAACTCTGTCTATAATGTTTTGAGGTCTACAGACATCTATTATCTAATAAATGTATTGGTTTTTCCTTCATATCTATGTGTTTGAATCTTTAAAAAAAAAAAACCACAAAACTAAACAAAAAACCTGTCTATCCTGGGATTAAAAAGACATTTTCTCTCAAACTATAAAGGTTTTTATCATTACGTGTGTGTGTGTGTGTGTGTGTGTGTGTGTGTGTGTGTGTAGGTCAGAGGATAACTTTTGGTCATCGTTTCTCTCCTTCCACCCTGCTGAGGATCTTCTTTTGTTGTTTCTGCTGTTTACTACATACTCCAGACTAGCTGGTCAGCAATTCCAGGGTATTCTCCTGTCTCTGTCTCCCATCCCCACTGTAGGAGTGCTGGTATTACGGATGTGAACCACCACATCTGGCTTTTTCTGAGGGCTCCCAGGGGTCAAACTCAGGTTGTCAGACTTGCATGGCAAGCACATTTTCCAGCGGTGCCATCACAGCAGCCCTGATTTGTTCTTTGAGATCTATGTATCCCAGTCTTGTCCCCTCCTGCCTCAGCATCCTAGACCCATAGACCATGAGTGCCTCACATCACACCTGGCTCAAGCATAGTTTTTAATGGAGATAGGATTACTACAACTGACTGTGGCAAAGCCCAGCACCTAGAAAACACTGACAAATTGCAGAGACAAATGAACAAGTTGTTGTGGAACACACCTTTAATCCCAGCACTCAGGAGGTAGAGGGAGGCAGAAGACTCCCTGTGAGGCAGAGGTTAGTAGATCTACATATCGAGTTCCAGGCCAGCTAGGGCTACATAGTGAGACCAGGTTTCTAAAACTAAATAACTTTGTGGAGACTAGCAAAACTAATGCTCCCAGTCAACAGTAGGAACGTGTGAGCTCATCATACACAGACTGAGGAGTAGGATAGATGGCTGAGCTGTTGATCCAGGTGGCTGTGGCTCTTTCAGATGACCCGGGTTCAATTCCTACCACCTGTATGGCAGCTCACAATCCGATGTTCTCTTCTGACCCCCATGAGCACCAGCCATGGTACATAGCAAACACACACACACACACACACACACACACACACAGAGGGGGGGGGGGGGGGGGATATCATCAATCCAGGAACTGAATTACAGGCCTCATGAGCAACATGGGACATGAGGGATGATCCTCCAGGGCCCTCTCTACCTTCCTCTTTTCTTTGTCAGATCTCAGCTACTGAATCCACTGTCCTATTATACAGTGGCTGATGGACCCAGAGCTCACCCAGTGCTTCGTTTGGTTCTGTAGGCATTCTCTTCTTGAGATTGTGACTATACAACCCAAATAAGTTAGCATCTGGGAAACATACCAAAGCTGGAGTAATGCATAGCTTTAACATACCACTGTTGACTCTAGAAAGTCCTGACTTTCCTAGAAGCCATCGTTCTCAAAGAGCCCCCAAGGGAAATGTGAGGTGGCCCATGCTAGTACTCCATACATTCCTAGGAAAAGATGCTATGAACAAAAAGACAAGAGGACTGTGGGTCACTAATAGAGGAACCAAGATGATCACAGAGAATAATGAGGGATGTTGCACATGCTACATGAAAACTTGACAACCTGGACCAATGACATTGGCTTTTAAGTGACCACATCTGAACACTGACCACATTAGCTCCAAGGCTCATCCCAGCATCCTTTGTTGGTCTGCTGGCCAAAATGCTATAGAAGCTTTTCTTGAGCTCCACAACACATTACACCACCTTACACCACAAGAAGGTCCCAAGTTACCATGGCCCTCTTCCCCACCCCATGCCAAGACATGTTCAAGTCCTAACTTCCTATATCTGTGAACACTTTATTTGGAAATAGTCTCTGTAAAAGTCATTCAAGATGCAGTCACATGGTCTTGAGTGGGCCCTGAATGCAATGGCCAGCATCTTTATAAGAAAGGGAGAGGGGCCGGGCAATGATGGCAGGTGCCTTTAATCCCAGCAGAGGCAGAGGCAGAGGCAGGTGGATCTCTGTGAATTTGAGGCTAGCCTGGTCTACAGAGTGAGTTCAAGGCCAGCCAGAGATACAGAGAGAGAGACCCTGTTTGGAAAAACAAAAAAAGAAAGGAAGGAAGGAAGGAAGGAAGGAAGGAAGGGAGAAAGAAAAAAGAAAGAAAGAAAGAAAGAAAGAAAGAAAGAAAGAAAGAAAGAAAGAAAGAAAGAAAGAAAGAAAGAAAGAAAGAAAGAAAGAAAGAAAGAAAGAAAGAAAGAAAGAAAGAAAGAAAGAAAGAAAGAAAGAAAAGGAGAGGGAGATTCAGACAGAGATGCGGGGTAAACGTAATATGGAAACTGGCTAAGCTTGAGTGATACAGCCATAAGCCAAGAACACACCTGAAGCTAGCAAGCAACAAGGATCATTAGCACCTTCAAGGGAGCGTGGCCCTGACTATAGCTTAAAATTGGGACTTGTAGCATACAGGATTGAGAGAGATGTTTCTGGTTTTTACAGTCATTTGGTTTGTGGCCATGTGCTATGGCGGCCCTATAAAGTGCACACTTTTGGCTCTCCAGAGAGCATCCTGTTGCATGTCCTCACTTCAGAGCAGCTCCCACTGTGGATGGGAAGCCCTGAGAAGACCTGTGGTGTGACCCCAGCTTTAGTGGCTACTGTGTGTATTGCAGCACCACTTTTGTCCACCCATATGGAGGCCGTGATGTGTGCACGAGATTTAACACAGGCTCTGAAACAAAGCAAGTTTCATGGTGAAAAGCATCACATTGTTTCCCATAAGCATGTGAGGGGGAAAAGGCTATGAATCTGTGCTTTTGATTGGTGAGTGGTAGATAATTATCTATGTAATAGTGAAACACCCTTGATAAAGTTAAAAATATCTACTGTCATCCGATGAGATTACAGTAACAGCAAGGCTCTCTCTACCGCATGCAATGTGTGTAAAGATGGGTTGGAACTGTGCGACTGTCCCTAAGACAGTATGAGAGGTGGTTCACTAAGGGAATAGAGATCACATTAATTAGGGGGCTCCACTGATTCTGTTCCCACCATATCAAAGAAATTTTACTCAAATCACACCCACCTGTAGCCATTCCAGACACTTGAATTGTTCTCTGCAATAACAGTGGTTGTGTGGCAGGGACTGCTGATTTGTTATGTTTTTTGTTGGTGGGATGCCGGTTCCCTGTTGGAGAAATGCAGGCCTCCACTTAAGTCACACCTCCCCTGGGAAGGCTACTTGGATTAAATATGGTTTGGAATTTCATGTGGCACAGATTTGGGATGAGTTTCATTCAAAGCCATAAGGGCGATGGTACCAACCCTTGCTGCAGAACCTATATCCAGCTCCTACTTTCCTCAGCTATACTGTGTCACTTCCTTCCTTAGGAACATGCTTGCGTTTTCCACTGCCTGCAAATCAAATGCAGACTCCCTGGCTTTATGCTTCCCATTCCCTCCTGTCTTTTGTTCTTCTCTTTACAATCCTCTGCTTTGGTCAGACCATCATTTGTGATCTTTCTGCTCCTCCGATTGGCACGGGCCCTTTGCTTCTGATTCAAACTTCCCGGCTGGAAACCCACGCCTGTCCACCACACCATGAACCAAGCAAACAGCACAAAACTGTTTTCAGGAACTAGAGGTCACTGTGGTTGTGTTCCAGAGTTCCAGCAGCAGAGCAGCATGCTCTAACTTCTCTTTTTCTACAAACACTTGCTAGTTATTACCTCTTGTGAGCTTCCCAGAAATCTAGACAAAGCAAATACCAGCAATACAGGTTGAAAAAAAAAAAAAAAAAACATTACGTGTGCATGTGCGTGTGTGTGTGTGTGTGTGTGTGTGTGTGTGTGTGTGTGTGTGTGTGTGGTTGCTCATGTGTCAGTGTGCTTATGGAAATCAGAGGACATGTAAGTCCAGTGGTCAAATTCAGGCTTGGTTGCAAGTGCCTTTACTGACCGATGAGCTACTTGACAGCCCTAAGCAATATAATATTTAAATTGCATGATGAAAACACTCAACAGCTCACCCATCTGCCTCCTCGATGAACAAAGGATACAAGAGGAGGCAAAACATAACATTGCTAACTCTTGGCAGTGCTCATATTACCCAGTCTGAGGTGGGTAAGATAGGTAGGAATAAAGATTGTCCCATCAGCAAGAATGACTGATGTTGTTTGTCTAAAAAGGAGACAGTTCTGAAAATGAAGGGGATCTCCACATGCTCTTCTAACAGGAAACACAGGCTTCTCTCAAATTTCCCATCAAAGTATGGTCTCCTAGCAACAGCCACTGAAAGGTGAAGCTTCTGAGATTTCGATTTTACTATCTGTTATGTATTCTTTGTGACTCAACCTTCAAGGGTATGAAATGTCAAACTTGAGATTAAATTTCCATGCAATTTATTAAAGGAATTTGTATAATGGTTGAAACATGAAGGTTCTCTCTCAGTCTACTAAAGATCTATTAAAGTTCTGGCCAAAATTAAAGTTCTGGTAAAAGATTAAGTTAAAAGCTTAAAGTGAAGTTATATTAATGAGCAACTTGGAGTTCAAAGTAACTTTTAATACAAAACCTACTTGCTGCTCAATCTGTTTTCTTCTTTTCTTGCAAAAGGCAACGGAAAATATCACTAAAGACCAGTTCACCTAGTGCAGGGAGTGGTAGAAGATTCTCAGCACGCACAGGCCCTCAGTTCAGTGCCAGCATGAAAGGAAAACAAGAGTTCACCTAAAACCTACAGAAGCCAAGTCTGAGAAACAAATATGGTCACTTTATGTATATAAGCAATAGTAACACAGATCCAAGCCTGCCCTGTGTCTAGTCAAGGTATTTCACAAATGCTATGATTAGAAGTCACCATTAACTAGGCCGGATATTGGTGGCACATGCCTTTAATCCCAGCACTTGGGAGGCAGAGGCAGGCAGATCTCTGTGAGTTCGAGACTAGCCTGGTCTATAAGAGCTAGTTCCAGGACAGCCTCCAAAGCCACAGAGAAACCCTGTCTCGAAAAATCAAAAAAAAAAAAAAAAAAAAGTCACCATTAACTAAAACCACCTAGTTAGTGAGGCTGTGAATAGTGGTTCACACCCTTAATCCTAGCACTCAGAAGCTAGAGACAGACAGATCTCTATGAACTCGAGGCTAAAGGCCTGGGAGTTCCAGTCCAGCCAAGGCTATAAAACAAACAACAAAAATCACCTGGTGAAGTAACTGGGAGCAGGGTTCAGTCCATAGAGGACTTGCCTAGCACAAAGGAAGGTCCAGTCCTCAGTGCCACACAAAATGGGCATGGTGGTACACATTTATAATCCCAGCTCTCTGGAGGTTGGAGCAGGAAGATCAGAAGTTCAATCATACTCAGCTATGCAGTGAGTTTGAGGCCATGCTGGGTTACAAATGATCCTTGAATACATAAATTTGAAAGAAAGGAAGAGAGAAAGAGAGGGAAGAGAGAGAGAGAGAGAGAGAGAGAGAGAGAGAGAGAGAGAGAGAGAGAGAGAGAGAGGCTGTAGAGATGGCTCAGCAGTTAAGATCACTGGCTGCTCTTCCATTGGACTTGGGTTCAATTCCCAGCACCCACATGGCAGCTCTCAGCTGTCTGAAACCTCAGTTTCAGTGGATCTGACAACCCCACACAGACATATATGCAGGCAAAACACCAATGCATGTGAAATAAAAAGTTATTTAAAATCATAATAATAAAAGAAAGAAATCGCCTGGTGAAAACCACAGCTTCTCAAAAGGAAATCCTTGTATATTATCTTTGGAAATTTGAGTGATTATAGCCATGTGGGGGGAGGGGCTTGAAGATAATACTACTATAATCCCGCATTCAAACAGGCTTAAATTGGTATGCTGAAGGGCTGTCTGTGCTTCCAGCTCACTTCATTAGTTACAAACATAAGCTAGATCTATATGGCTAACAATATAACATACAGAGAAAATATGCCATATATATACAATGGGCCGATACTGTTTATCCTTTAGGAAGGAAACTGTCACTTGCAACAACATGAATAAACTGGGAAGACATTACTGCTGAGTGACATAAGCCAGGCACAGAAAGATAAATTCTTCTATGTGACCTCATTTTTATGACAGAGGAGTCTATAAAAGTTGAATTCAAGAATGAAATGATCAGACTCTAGGGTATAGGGATAAGGAATGTGGTTTGAGTAAAAATGGCCCCCTGGGGGTGAAAGTCCATCACTGAGGTCTCAGCTCAAGCCAGGCCCAGTGTGGCACTTTCTCCTCCTGCTGCCTGCTTGCCACCATGCTTCCCACCATGGCAATAATGGACTAAACCTCTGAATTGTAAGCCAGCCCCAGTTAAATGTTTCCCTTTATAAGAGTTGCTGTGGTCATGATGTCTCTTCACAGCAACAGAACTCTGATTAAGACAAGGAATAAAGGAGATTTGGGTCAAAGGGTGTATGTTTTCTACTAGATGAAAGGGAGAAATGTCTGAGAAATACTGCAGATAAGCTACAGTTAGTAATAATGGGATAGATTTCAAAATCCCTGAGAGCAGACTTTGGCCAGAACAAAGAAAAAAAGTGAGCTGATAAACATTTGTAAATGGATTTACTCGTCCCAGAATATGAACATATATCAAAACATATTACACCTCCATAAGTATATAAAATTACTGTCAAGTGTATAGGAAAAATAAAACAGCTTCTCATCATTTGCAATAAAGGATATTTTTTCCTTGAAATGCTTGGTGCATAAACTTTTACCATGTCAATATTTCAGAGCTATTAAGTCAAGTCTCAGCTGTCAGTAGGTGACTTCTCACTGTTCCCAGTTTGTCTCTTACTCATTTTTCCAGACCACATTTTAGAATCATCTGTGAAAGCAACACTTGCAGTTGTCTTTCCAGGATAACTCTGCTTATTCATCTCTGTGTGCACGTGCATGCACAATTTTGTACACGTACGTGGAGACAAGAGGTCAATGTCAGGTGTCTTCCTCATTCGTTCCCCATCACAGTTTTTGAAACAAGGTTTCTCACTAACCCTGAAGCTTCACCTGCTCCTACCTCCCCCGTGCTGGGATACAAGCATGCACTGTCAGCCTAGTTATGTAGTCCTGAGGAGCTGAACTCAGTCCTGTGCTTGTGAAGCAAGCACAGCACCAACTGAGCCATCTCCCTAGGCAGGATGCTAGCTTCTTATGCAGTCACGCCTTTTCTATTGGTGGTCAAGCATGTATGCAATGGAGCAACAACTGCTCTAAGCTGCATGGTGACTGATACTCTTGTGGCTACCCCTGCTCCCATACACATCCACATACTAGATAAACTAAGCAACCATAATTATAAATGCATTGAAAATTCAAACAATATGGCTAGATAGTACCACGCCCAGACAAAACGTTCACAGTGGCACTGCTTAGATTAGCAAAAACTAACAAAACTAGCAAAAACTCAAAACCTCATCAACAGATCAACTGCTTCATATTCATTACAACTACCTAATAAAAAAAAATCAATCAACTCTTTAAAAAAGTCACAGAAATAAACATATATCATATCATTTATATAAAATTCAAAACTATATAAAATTAACAGCAGGCAAACACAACTCAGAATGATAATTCCTGGAGGGGGAAGGGACATATGGAACTTCCATAGTGAGTGACACTCCATCTCTTACTACAGCCAGGTATACAACTTACTATTTATTTCTTATATACAATTTACAGATATCTGTGGTATGAAATGCTTCATTTAAAAAGGACTGAAAATATGAAAGATGTTAAATATGAATGCTACCATGTATGCATAACAATAAAATTTGTACAAAAAAGTATACACAGAAAATGCCCCACTCTCTTCCAGTGCCCCCCACCATCAGTGTGAACCTGCAAGGCTGTAAGGTAGAGCTAGCTGTGACTGTGAGTGCTCCAGGTAAGGCAGGAGCAGACCTGCTAGCCATTCATTTCCACCTCGTCCAGCTCATCTGTACTTAGATTTTTCTTTGTCTTTGGATTTCTTTGGACTTCTGCTTCGGTCTCTCTTTCTACTCCTTTCCCTTTCATAAGGATCTGTCTGGTACTTGGGTTTGTGGCTGCTACTATAGTGACCGTCCCTTTCTCGAGATCGGCTCCGACTGCGGTTCTGACGTCGGTCTCTCTTTTCACTCTTCTGTTTCTCCCAACAGCTTTCTTCATCTTCATAATGGCCAAAACCCATTTCCCTGTAGATATCCTGTCAAAGAAATACAGTTTTAAAGTCAGTCAGTAAAATAACCCTTTATTAGCACTGTCAATTCATGAAGCCTAGAAAAACCTGCAATTAGCAAGCTGCTGCAACAGCTTAAATTCATTTTCTAAAATTCTTATGTACCTAAATATTTTGTCTGTATGTCTGTATGAGTGTCAGATATCTTGGAACTGGAATTATAGTCACAGCCATTTGTGAGCAGCCATGTGGTGCTGGAAATTGAACTAGTGTCCTCTGGAGGAGCAGCCAATGCTCTTCACTGCTGAACCATCTCTCCCGTTCTCAAATTCATTTTTTTTTTCTTTTTTTAAGGCAGGTTCATGCCATGTGGCCCAAGCTAGTACTGAACTCACACTTCTCCAGTCTCAGCTTCTCTCAGTCACCTGCACTCATGGCTTCAGTGTGCACTACCACTAATACTAGAAGCTCAAAACTACATAAAAACAAATAACTCAGAAGAGTTAATCATTTTTTTTTAGATAAATCTAATTGGTTTACATCTATTTCAGTTGAGCTGAAGGATCAGATTCAAAGCCATGGAAGTGAAGCAGCCAAGTAAACGCTGAACAGTTCTTGTTTTAGTGGTGTCAGAGAAACAAACCCAGGGTTGGTACATGCCAGGTTCTTCCACATCCCCAGCCCTAGAGCAACATCCAATGCTCTCATCACATACATTTATACTCCATTTTCTCATTTTCCACTTCCCCAAAATGTGGTCCCATCACTGAACTGCAGTAAAACTACCAAAGTCCACTAATAATTCTACAAGAAGATAGCATTCAAATAACACAGCAGAAAGAAGATTTAGGCGAATCAGCCAGGCTAAAATGAAAAGAAAGTAGATACTGCAAATTTTGGCATGGACAACCCCTGCAACCCCTGGCAGGCTGGCCTTGAACTCTTGAGTAGCTGGAACTCCTAAGTAGCCTGTGTTACCACACTTGGCTCATTTTTTTTTTTTTAATTACTAAGTACACATTCTACTAATCCCCTAGTCCTGATTAACTTTAAAGTGTTTTATAAAGCCATCTCTTTATATCTTCAAATACATTTTACATGTTCAAACTGGGCTGATACATGATGTATTAAAACTCTTACATAAGGGGTCTGGAGAAATGGCTCAGTGGTTAAGAGCACTGGCTGCTCTTCCAGAGGACCCAGGTTCAATTCCCAGCACCTACATGGCAGCTCACAACTGTCTGTAACTCCAGTTCCAGGAGAGTGGGCACTTACAACAAAACACTGAGGCACATAAAATAAAAATACATAAATTAAAAACAAAAAATTGTTTAAAAAAAAATAAAACACTAAGGCACATGCCTTTAATCCCAGCACTTAGGAGGCAAAGACAGGGAGATCTCTATATGAGGTTTGAGGCCAGCTTGATATACATAGTGAGCTCTGGACCAGTCAATGCTACATAGTCTTTAGAAAAAGAAAATATCTTACTTACCTATCCTTAAAAGTAAATTAAGAAATAATCTATTGCTGCCAGGACAGTAAAAATGTCTCTGTCTGAGCTGGAAGTATGGGGTAGACATATTAGGGTACTTACTGAGTTCAGTCTCCAGCTCATCCCCAAAAGATGGGTATCTGGAGACCTGAGACCCACTCTGACTACTCAATAGGCAAGCTGCAGCTAAATACTACTCAATTCCCCGTAACCTAGCAAAACTCAAAACAACACAAAACCACCTATGGAATTAAGGTATAAGGTGAAAATTAAACAGACGAGTTTCTGAACTGAATAGCAAGGCTGCCATTCAACAAGCCACAGTTTAAAGAACAAGTTAAAGCACCCTCACGGAACTGGACTCTCCAGCAAACAATAGCACACAGGAACACCTGCTATACCTACAACTTAACCTGTACTGAAGTTCCTGTTAGTAATTGTGTCTTTCAGACTAAAATAGAAAATACCAATACTGAGCTTTCCTACAAAGAAAAGAAATTAATATAGCTATACTGTCAAATCAAAATATAAAACCCCAAAACTTACTTTGATGTACTTATGGGGAAAAGGTTAGAAAACGAAAATTCAGAATCTAACACTTCTATAGTTACAAACACCTTAAATTATTTTAAAACTTAAAGGCTGTGTGTGGGTGTCAGAGGACAACTCTCAGCAGGTGTTCTTTCCTTTCACATTGCTGAGACAGAGTCTGCTCTCTCTTGTCATTTCTGCTGCACTGGAGTAGCATGTTCCCACACTGATCCTTAAGTTTCTAGGAGACTTTCCTGTTTCTACTTCCCATGTCAACACAGGAATGCAGAGATTATAAATGTGTGGTAGGCACCACAGCAAGCTTCTTTTTTGTTTGTTTGTTTGTTTTTGCCTTTTAAAGGGAGGTTCCAGGGACTGAACACAATCATCAGATTTACATGGCAAGTGCTTTTTTTTTTTTTTAAACCTGATGAGCCATCTCCTCAGCCCTTAAAATTCTTTTAAAACTGCCAACAACATTTCCTCCTCCTTACTGCACGCCAAAAGAAAAAGACTGCTGCTATAAAGTTCTAAGTCATCAGAAGGCAGGGGCTGGGGTGGCTCAGTCATAAAGTACCTGTGTACCAGTATAAGGGCCTGAGATCAGATACACAGCTCCCATGCGAAAACAAGGGACAAGTGGCTATAACCTTAGCACTGTGGGAGTACTGGCACACAGACCCCTAGAGCTTCCTGGTCAGTGAAGTTGGCCAATCACTGAGCTCTATGCTCAGGTAGAGATGCTGTCTCAAAGGAAATAATATGGAGAACAACAGAGGAAGACAATTCACTTGAACCTCTGGTCTCCACATACTGGAGTATATGCATGCATGCATGCGCGCCCGCACACGCGCACACATACATACACACACACACACACACACACACACACACACACACAAAACCCACACACACTACACAGATATATACCTGCACACAAATATATGCACAAAAGCATAAATACAAAATTTAAACCACCCCTCCAGTAGGATAAAAAGGTTCCTAACTGTGGGGAAGAGACGGACTTAAAACATACCCAGTCTTTGCATTTCTTTAACCCTCTGATTATCTCAAACACAGTATTTATCTCAGGCCTGGATTCAGTGAAGATACATAAGTACAGGTTTGAACACTTGTAGCTAAAAGCAAGATGGGCTTCAAAGCCTTTAGTAGAAAACATGTTAAATATTCATAAGAATGTTATGTCAACTATTTTAAAAGACTGGGGTGATCCAAACTAAATTAACAGTAATTAAGAAAATGAAAGCAGGCTATGGAGATGGCTTAGTGGGAATGGCCTGTAAGCCCAGCACTGTAGGATGGCAGAGACAGTAGGATTGCTCGAATTTGTTGGCTACCAGTCTAGCTGCAGGTCTGGTAAGAGGCCCTGACATAAAGGAATAAGGTGGAAAGTGATAAAGCAGGAAACCTGACATCCTCCTTTAGTCTCCAGAGCATATACCCCACACATACATGTGTGCATGTACTAGCATGCACACACATACACGAATAACAATTCTAGAGGGAGGGAGGAGGGAGGGAGGGGTGGGAGGGAGGTTGGTTCTCTGGTTAGATCACCTGGATACTTCACTAGAATACCACAGGATTAAGGAAAGAAGAGGAATGCAGTAGTGGACTAGTCAGGAGTGTAAATCTGATCTAAACTATGGCTCCACCACTTATTATACATGTAAACTACAGGTCGGTAACAAGCTACTTCCTTTACAATTTCTTTGTTGTGAACTGGGGATAAAAAAGCTTACCTCACATTTTAAGAACACAAAAAATTACTTTATAGCTTTTACCTTCATTTATTCATATGAGGAACATTTGAAAGAATGGACAAAGATATAGTTAAAAATTTGTAGCAGGGGGGCTGGAGAGATGGCTCAGAGGTTAAAAGCACTGGCTGCTCTTGGAGAGGTCCTGAGTTCAATTCCCAGCAACCACATGGTGGCTCAAAACCATCTATAGTGGGATATGGTGCCCTCTCCTGGCACACATGCATATATGCTGGCAGAACACTGTATACCTAATAAATAAATAAATCTTTAAAAAAACAATTTGAAGAAGGAAATGGGTAGTGATGGCACATACCTTTAATCACAACACTTGGGAGGCAGAGGCAGGTGGATCTCTGTGAGTTTGAGGATAGCCTGGTCTACAGAGTGAGTTCCAAGTCAGTCAGTCAGAGCTGTAACACAGAGAAACCCTGTCTTGAAAAGCCAAAAATAAAATCTGTAACAGGACATGAATGATGACAATATTTAAAAAGCTAACAGGCTATAAAAAGAGAGAGATTATGCCTCTGTTAGATGACACTGAGGGATAAGAATGTATGCTATATAGGAGTATTTATTAAATATATATTTGCTAAAATATTTTTTAGCTCTAGGGAGAGACTGAGGACCTGTATTCAAATCTCCAGCACTCACACAAAATCCATGTGTGAAGTATAACTCTGTAACTCCAGTGCTGGGGTTGAGGAAACAGAAGGGTTTTGGGAGCTCCTCTAGCCAGCCAGTCTAGGCAAATGGCAATACCAACTTCAGTGAGAGACTGACTCCAAAAATAAGGTAGAAAGCTTACACAGGCAAGTATGCTTACACATACATACTAACCTCCTACACACACAGAGAAAACACTGTTGTATGAAGACCAACATAAAATACATTGTCACCTACAAGAGAGGAAAAAGGGGATGGGTTGGGGTTCAAGGCAAACTTTGTATGTGTCCTATTTGGAAGATTTTTCCTTAACAAACAAAAAACCCTCAGAGCCTCACTATAGAGCTCAGTCTGGACTCAAACTCTTATCCCTCCTGCTTCAAACTCCTAAGTACTACAATTACAGATGTGTGCCACCACAGTGTTCAGTTAGATTTAGTTTTTGACCCTTGTTGTTTTAAAAGCTACAAACCATTTCAGCTCAGCACTTGAGGGGCAGAAGCAAAGGCAAATGAGTTTGAAGCTGCCCAGATCTAACAATGAATTCTATGCCAGCTGGGGCTACGCAGTAAGATCCTGTCTCAAAACAAAGTAAGCCAGAAAACAAAACTATAAATCAGAAAGCTGTTTTGCACAATCCATTAACATGAACTAGAAAATGGGACAAACTACCTGAAGCAGGATCCAAGCCAATATCCTAGCCACAGGGAGAGCCACTGTAGGTGACTTTAAAGTAGCCCCTTGTCAGTGCGGGAGCAGAAGTGATGAGATTAGCCAGATACAGAAAACGCTTGTACATGCTTGCCCACGTTTATTCTAACAACCTCTCTGTGAAGTATTATCTCCTTCTCAAAGAAGGAAACTATGACTCAAAGTTAAGTTGCCAAGGTCACATCAATGGCAAGCAGTGCAAAAATGTCACTCTGAACTCTAACAGCAAAACCTTGACTCTGCTTACCCTAACTCATCTCTCCACCTGTGTCCCCTGCTTTACATTTTCATGATCCTGTGTTCCCTGCCTCCTCACCTTAGTCTACTGAAATCTTTCTCCTTTATCAGGATCATCTCAAATGACTGACAAGGTAAAAGAAAAGCATGGGGCTATGATGGAATGACTTTTTTTTTTTTAAACTTTAACAAAGAGCAAAAATAGGCTAGAAATGATTTATTTTCATTGCCACTGTTTTAGGAAATGTGCTGTTCAGGACAGCTTTGGGGTGATGTTTAATTATGAGTGCTATTTTTACTTTACATCTACAGTATACACAGGACATAGACTCAAAGGCTGGCTAAGGTTAAGAGCTCACACCTGTCTTCCTACCAATTGGAAGGTGAAGGCAGCAGGATCAGGGATTCAAGAACAGCTCCTACTACATATCAAGTTCAAAGCCAACCTAGATTACAGAAGACTCCGTCAAAAAACAAACAAAACCAAAGGAAACTTCAAGCAGTGCTGCACAGAAAATACATGTTGATCATCAACGTTTATAGTAGCACCATTCACAATAGCTAAGTTATGGGCACAACTAGGTGTTTAACAACTGTGAAATGGATGAGAAAAATGTCAATATCTACAATGGAAAGTTTCTTTCAGCCATAAAGTATGATGTCCTATGTAGTAAATGAATGCAACCAGAAAGTCATATTCAGCAAATTAAGTCAGTTTCAGAAAGACAAACTGTGTAAGTTTTCTCCCATTGGTGGTTCTACATTTTACACAGTCATGTATGTATAGATTAAATACAGGAGTGAAATTGTCTAGGCCCTAGGGAAACAAAGGGACTAATGGGGAAGAAGTGGAGGGACTATTTAACAGAAAAGCCATACATGTAAGAAGACTTAAAATAAAATTAAGGGGCTAGAGAGATTGTGCCTCAGGTAGGAGTACTGACTGTACAAGCATAAGGAACTGTGTTCAGATTCCTGGAACTACATAAAAACCTGGGCAAGTAACCACAGTGCTATGGGGAGCAGAAACAGGAGGACTGCTGGAGCTTGTTGGCTACCAGCCTAGCTCCAGGTTCAGTGAGACCCTGCCTCAAGGGAATAAGATGGAGAGTGATAAAACAAGACACCAAGTGTCCTCCTCTGGCTTCCCTGCATGCATACCCCATGTACATACACTACACACAAATATACATACACACACTTTTTTAATTTGAAGTTTTTAAAGTGCTGAGGGGTTGACAGATGACTCAGTATTTAAGAGTATTTACTGCTCTTCCAGAGGACCCATGTTTGGTTCCCATCACCCATATAATGTGGTTCCTAACTGCCTGTAACTCCAGTTCCAGGAGATTCAATACCCTCTCTCTTCTGACCTCCAATGTCAAGCACCATGTATTTAACAGACATGCATAAATTAAATAATAATAATCGCTGACAAATTGAGATGCAATTTTTCAACATAGCCACATTTTTTATGAAAATAAGTATCCGTAGGTAAGGAGATCATTCTTGCTTACAATGTGAAAATCTATAACTTAAATTACTCTGAAAACAAATTTATATCCTGTGGGATATAGTCTTTAAAATTAAAGCTCATTACTCTGTGTGTTCATTCTATAGCTCAGAGCAGGAGATTACTGTTCAAAACTATCCCTTACCTCCTAAATTACACCACCAAGATGCACTGTACAAAAGGATAAAACATTGATTTTTCCATGTTTAACCCTGTATGTTAGGAATACCTGATTAGGATTTTTGATTGGCATGTATTCCTCATCATCTTTTTCTTCAGAACAGTGACGTGTTTTCTTTTTGTGTTTTTTACTTGTGTGTGAGTGACTTGATTTTGAGTCTTCTGCCTGCTCATCTAATATAAGATCATATTTTGCACTGAAGTATTTAATTAAGGACAAATAGGATAAATAATGGAAGCAAAATATAAGAAATATGGTAAACAAGAGAGGCCATGAAGCTCAATGTAACTTTCAGCAAATAACCTCTGAAAGCACAGAGTGCATCTCTAAGACAAGTAACACAGTCTTCATCATAGTCAAGAGAAATGGAAGGGACCCTGGCATCAACCAGGCAATAACCACTGGGAGAAAACTGTAAGTAGAATAGAAATTAAAATATATTTGTTGATAATGAAAAAAACTTAATTTAGAAAACAAGCCATGTCATTGACTAGAAAAACTGAAGGTGTTATGAACCTCAAAGCCAGAGAGACTCTTTAGATAGAAGGTGCATTGCATGACTCTTCTCAGGTCAGGTAGGAGAGGATTTAGCAACAAACAGTGATGACACAGAAATTCTTCTAAGAGTTTATAGCAATAAAACTAAGTTATGTGAACACAGATATACACATTAGTATCGTTTTTAGTTGTTAAAAAATGGGAACAATATTTAATAACATATAATAAAATAAATTTTAGTATCATAGCATGATATAATGTAAAAGGAATTACTAATAGTTATTTCTTAAAGGCTAGGAAGGCCTATATGAAAATTAAAAGTGGGAAAAAACTTTAAGTCAAATACTGTACAGTTGATCCTAGGACTCAGGAGACAGAGCAGGCAGATTTCCGTGAGTTTGTGTATGTGGTGAATTCCAGGCCAGTCAGAGTTACATAGTAAGACCCAGTCTCAAAATAAACAAGCAAACAAAACCACATAGGCAGGAGAGATGGCTCAGCAGTTAAAGAGTACTAGCTGGCTACTCTGCTAGAGGACCTGAGTTCCATTCCAGCACCTATGTCAATTGGATTACAAGTGCCTGTAACTCTAGCCCCAGAGATCAACATCCTCTCTGGCATCCACAATATATGCACATGCCTATCCACAGACACACATATATAAAACATAATTTTCAAAAAACAACTTTTAAAAAAAACTTCATAAACATTAATACTTGTAATCCCAGCTATTCAGATAGCTCAGGCAAAAAAGATTTACCTGAGACTAGCCTGGGCTACAAAGTTAAGACCTGCCTAGGGAAAGAGTGAGACCTTACATATACAATAGAGTAATTTTAACTTCATCAAACTTTATGAAAGATAAAGGCTTGAAAGGAAAAAATAAAAAGCACCATTTGTGTATGTGATAGAAGTGAGCAAATCTTTTCTAAATTTTATATAAAATATATTACTTAAATTTTAATTTTAAATTGGAGCTGAGGGTGTAGCTCTGTAGTGGCATGCTTTCTATCATGCCGAAAGCCCTGGGTTTGATCCTAGCACAACAATAATAATAATAACAATGTTTTCAATCAGAAATGAGCAATTTCTCTAATATAATATAAAGCCTTAGAATAAAAGAAAGCATAAACTGGATGGTGGTAGCTCACACCTTAAATCTCAGAACTTGGGAGGCAGAGGCAGGAGGATCTCTGCAAGTTTGAGGCCAGCCTGGTCTATATAGTGAGCCCTGATCTATACAGTGAGTTCAGATCTATAAAGTGAGCCCTGGCCTACATAGTGAGCCCTGGCCTACATAGTGAGCCCTGGTCTATATAGTGAGCCCGGGTCTATATAGTGAGCTCTGGTCTATATAGTGAGCTCTGGTCTAGTGACCTCTAGGACAGCTACATAGTGAGACCCTGTGTGAAAAAAAATAAACTAAAAGAAAGCATAAACTAGTGTAAAGACAATCTCAATCTCTAAGGTACTCTCTCTTAAGGCTGAGCTCTGGGATGTGAGGAAGCCTCACATACAAATGCTACTTTAGTTGCATCTGGGACCAGAGTCAACACAGACATGTCCTTTAAGGGCCAGAATCTAATGTCTGTTTTCTTTTATTTTAATGTTGGTATTCACTGTGGCACTGCTTAGGCTTTCCCTGTGCATATCCCATATACACATAAGATCAAAAAGTTAAGAATGCTTTCTAGCTTTCCACAAGACAGCGAGAGATGGATAGTCAGACCCATTATTCATTATCTAAAATTTCTTTCCTCTTTTATACTATGTCTGATTATTTCCAGTATTCTTCAAACTAATGAGTTGTAGAGTTTATGGTTCATAACTAGCAATTTTAGAAGTCACATAGAATAAGAAATTGAGACTACCTAAAAAAAATACCATTGGCTGGGGTATAACTCAGTGGTAGAGCAATTGCCTCATATGTGCAAGTCTTGGGTTCAATCCCCATCACTGTCAGAAAAAACAAAACACAAAACCTATAAAATTTGTTTCAGTTGTGTATAAAGGGCATGTGTATGAAAAAAAGAGGATATATGTTTGCAATAGGTAAGACATAGATTTTATTTTTTTAAGATACTAAGTCACAAGCCTTATCATCAAATAGGCTCAAGCAATGCTGCGTCATCTTGAGTAACTGGAACTTCATGCATGCACCCCACCCTCCTAAACTTTGTAAATGATGAGTAAAGAAAATAGTACCAAGGGTTGGAGTAAACTCGATTAGTAGAATGGTTGACTAGCATTCATTAAAACATTTTGGTGCTACAAACTTTAAGCAATACATTGACTTCCTTATGGTCAGTCAGAACAACCTCCCTGGTAACATCTATGCTTTATGCTCTGCAGCTACACTCCCTTTATTTGTCCTATACACTCCCCTTCTAGTGGTTCACAGATGTGAAGGTCACATTTGCACATACTCATCTATGCTGTTATGATGCTAAGCTTTAAGCACATGCCTTCTAACACCCTTTTGTAAGGAGCAACCTCAGCTTGTTGGTCTCGCTGCCTGTGAGCCTCTTAGGTTGATGCTGTCAGCTCCCTTCAGACTAACACATCACAATGCTAATATCTAAAGGCCAACCTGATACTCATCTCTCCTTGATGAATATTTGGAGAAGACATGCCTACGTAACACAGGAAAAGAGAACCTCTTTCCATCAACAGAAACTAGGAAACAAAGATGTCATTTACCAGACATGATTGCCAAAGAAATGACCTTTGCAATGTGTGGAGTGATAGGTTTATAATGGGAAAATCAGTCGAACAAATAAAAATGACATAATATGAACAGTATGTTTCACTGCTTTGTACTTGTCTTAGTTTAAAACTTGGAAGAACCTGAATTACATGGTCAAGTCGACAGATTTGCTTTTAATCCTGTAAATGTCAACTCTTGCACTAAACAAGAAGGAGCACTAAAGAAAGATTTAGCAAATCTTTGCTGCTAAAATGACAATGTACTAGGCAGGAAAAAAAGCTATCTAATTATGTGACAAAGAACTACAAGATTTTGTTATCTAGATAAGGAAATTAAATATAAGAGAATGAATAACATAAAACATTAGTATATGTAAAAATAACAAATTTACCTGATCATTTGAGAACAGGGTAAGTAGGAAGGTATTTTTTTTCCTTTTCCTTTTTTTTTTTTTTTTTTTTTTTTTTTTTTTTTTATTTGTTTTGTAGTTTTTCAAGACAGGGGTTTTCTCTGTCCTGGCACTCCCTTTCTGTGTAGACCAGGTGGGCCTCAAACTCACAGAGATCCACCTGCCTCTGTGTGCCACCACCACCCAGCATAGGAAGATATTTAGTATAAGAGTAGGAGGTAAAATATTTAGGTAGAAGGTTTCTTTCAAATCTAACATTCTCCACAATACAAAGTATAATGAAAAAGCAAAGTCTATAGGAGACACTGAAAAGCTGTGACAATAAACTGTTCCTTCTCAAATGATCCACACAGTGGATGGTTGTGCATATGATTCCCGTAAAGGATACTCCTGTTTTGGCTTTACTTTTTCTTTCAAAACCAAATTGGATGGTTTATCTTGTTCCTTTTCATATTCCTTGAAATCACTCTTGGTGTATTTCCCACCTATTTATTGAGAGAAAAAAAAGAATTAATAACATAATGAAATACTAACAAGTTCACAAATCACAAAGAGATACCATGTAAAAGGCACACATTGGGAAGTAGAAAAAGTGAAGAAGAACAAAAGAACCATAGCAACCCTGTCTCTGCTATTAGTTTAGTTCAAAGTGTATGTCTAATTTCCTTGGTAGTCATATGCTGCCACCTACCGACACATATGAATATTACAACATCCAACTGAAACACCCATACTACATTGTTCAAGCAGAGCCACTAGGTCCATGAACTACACTGCAGTAAGCCAGCAGCTAACACTATTCCTAAACAGACATATAATTTCTCCCTATAAACCCATAATTATAACATGTAAAAAACAAAACAAGAGGCCAGTCTGGCAAAGAGTACAGGGACCGACACCATGCTGCTTTCCGCCACCACTTTTATAAAGAGCAAGTCAAAAATCATTCTGGTGAGACTGGTGAGTCAGGTGGAACAGGTTTCTCCTTCAACCACAAGAGAAGCTGACTCCTGAGCATTCTAATCCAATTGTGAACTAAAAAGTCCTCTTTGAGGCCAGGCGTTGGTGGCGCACGCCTTTAATCCCAGCACTCGGGAGACAGAGGCAGGCGGATCTCTGTGAGTTGGAGGCCAGCCTGGCCTCCAGAGCGAGTGCCAGGATAGGCTCCAAAGCTACACAGAGAACCCCTGTCTCAAAAAAACAAACAAACAAAAAAGTTCTCTTTGAGGAACAGAGAAAAATATGTGCCCTCTAAGCAGTGGACTGAGCATGAATTTGATTTATAAATGAGAAGACAAAGGGTGAGGCACTGGTTGGGAAACCTGCATGTGTACTGAGGAAGCACACAGCACACAGCATGGCTTCTGGAAAGGTGAAGGCTGTTGTGAAGGAACAATGGGGAGAAAGGAAATTCTTCACAGAGACCAGATATTTATCTGGATTTTTTTATAGGCCTTAACAAAAAATACTGAAAAACTATCAATTCATTTTGACAAAGCATTCAAAAGAGCATTAGTTATGTATTTCAAGAGCAGGGAAGGAAGCCCAGGAGAAACAGAGCACAGGCCAATGATCCAAGTCACTTCCTCCTATATCACACGTCACAGCTTCCAGTGGGCCTTCCAGCAGCCAACTCTACTAACCTATTTCTCCCTCTTCGAAAGCCCCTGCTATTTACCACCAAACAGTCCTACTTATTTCTTGCTTTTAAAATGCAGTAAAACCATAAGAAACTAATTATAACTGGTATAAAGTAATCTGGCTGGAATGATGGCAACATGGTTAAGAGCATTGCTCTTACAGAGGACCTGGGTTCAACTCTTAGAACCCTCATGGTGGCTCATAGCTATCTGTAACTCCAGTTCCAGGGAATCTAATACTCTGGTCTCTGCCAGCACCAGGCATACACATGGTGCACATACATACGTACAAGCAAAATACTCAGACATACAAAATAGAAATAAATAAATCTTTTAACAAAGAAGAGAAGTTAATCTTAATTTTCCTGGTAAAAATTAGCATCACATGTAAATAATTACCAAAGTGAAACCTTTTTTGTTGTCACTGTTTTGCTTTTGTTTTTGTTTTTCTGAGACAGGGTCTTAACTATGTAGCCCTGGCTGGCCTGGAAATGGCTATGTAAACTAATCTGGCCTGGAACTCACAGAGATCTCTTGCTTCTGCCTCCCCAATGCTCAACCCTAAGTGAGACCTTTTAAAAACACTGTAAAAAAAATTTTTTTTTAATTCAGCTAGTAAGCCGGGCGGTGGTGGTGCATGCCTTTAATCCCAGCACACGGGAGGCAGAGGCAGTCGGATCTCTGTGAGTTCCAGGCCAACCTGGTCTACAGAGAGAGTTCCAGGACAGGCTCCAAAGCTACAGATTGAAAAAACAAAACAAAAACAAAGAAAAAACCTCAGATGGAAGACAGTTCCATGATAGGACATATACTTAGTGGGCTACTATGCTCAATCCTTAACACATATGCACATACACACACATACAAAAAGTACACAAGATGAAAAAATTCACAATTAGGTTGGAAAGTCAATGCTTATTGATGGGGGAAGTACTTCTGTGTATGTTTATCTTATTGATTGTTAAATAAAATACTGTTTGGCCAATGAGACAGCAAGTTAGACGGGACTAGGAGTCAAAGAAGATTCTGGGAAATGTAGTAGAGAAGTGGTGATCCAGGCAGGAAGTGACATAGCAAGGAGACTCATATTTAAGCAAAGGAAACAGGAAGGGTTCCCCTTTTCCCCTCGGTTCTTCCTCCAGTGGCGCCATGTGAGCCACCGGCAAGAGAGGGTGCCAGCGAAAGGCATCCTCTATAAGATAAATCTTATAAAATATATAGGTTTATGATAATTAAGACTGAGCTAACAGATGAAGAATTCCAGTCATTGGCCAAGCAGCTTTGAACCTAATACAAGTTTCTCTGTGTATTAATTTGGGCCCTAACTCGGGCGGGGTGGCTGGCATAAAGCGCACACGTGGCAGTGGGGCTCAGCAGCTTTTGGCGGAAAGACTTACCGTCACAGCTTATATTCTTAGCACTTAGAAGACTGGAGCAGGAAAATACTAAGTTTGAGGCCAACCTAGACTCCATAGCCTGGAAGTGAGGCACAGTCCTTTCCTCTCGCCTTCCAGCTTTTCTCCAAGTCCTGGTACCAGGGAACTGTCTTCTTCTCAGACTCAGAGTCCTTGGCCTCCACGCTTTGAGTGATGACTCACTGGGTGGCCTGTGCCTGTCTTGAAATCGACCCTCTCTGAATTCCTGGAGTGCTAGGAATTGCAGACCCGGGGGTGATGGGGAATGTACTTCTGTGTATGTTCATCTTATTGATTGTTGAATAAAGTACTGTTTGGCCAATGAGGCAGCAAGTTAGATGGGACTAGGAGTCAAGGAGGATTCTGGGAAATGTAGTAAAGAAGTGATGATCCAGGCAAGGAAATGACATAGCAGGGAGACTCATACATAAACAAGGGAAGAAGGAAGTGGACTCTCTCTGCCTCCAGAGTTGCCATATGATACACTGGCAAGTGGACGCCAATGGAAGGCGTCCCATAAGATAAGTCTTATAAAATATATAGATTGATGATAATTAAGACTGAGCTAACAGATGAGAATCCTAGTCATTGGCCAAGCAGCATTTGTACCTAATATAAGTCTCTGTGCATTAATTGGGGCCCTAACTCGGCGGGCAGAACTCAGGAGGCTGGCGGAAATGGCCCACGTGGCGGTAGGGCTCGGGCAGCTTTTGGCGGAAAGATTTATCATAACACTTGGGTCTTACTTTTTTTGCCTCACTCATAGGAGCTATGTCTATACCTCCTTGCTCCCATTTGGATGTGTTTTGGAGACCCAGTGGTATTCCTAATCAGCTATTGTTGCAGGACTACCAGCTGTTGGCCATAGAGCTGGAGGGGCAAGGCTACCAAACACATCTGAGTGATGCTGTGGTGATGGCAGATGGTGCTTTAAGCCCTAGAGAGTTGATCTGGATCCACTAGGATGGCATCTCCAGATTAGCTTTAATATTTCTTTGTTAAATGGTAACTAAAATATATGTTTATTACATTTTTCTTATAAAACTGAGAACTTTCTTTCAAACTAAATAATATATAGTCTCCACTTAGTCCTTTTTGTCTTGCTTGTCCCTTTTATCAACCTATTTTAATAACATTTTGGGTCCTTGCTGGTCCCTCCCCCAACCTCTCTTTAGTTAAAAAAAAAAAAAGTGTTTTCCAAGATGGGAGTCGGTTACCACAACTGGATAGTGTTGAAGTAAATTGGTGTAGCTCTTGGGTTTCTCACTCTTTGTCACCTGGTGGGTGATGCACTACCTAGAGCAGTAAAAAAATGGCTATTGACAATAGTACCTCCCCCAAAGATAAACAACGCCTCCCCCTTCCCTCCCTGCAGGTCAGCAGAAAGCAATCTCATCCCTACCTTACCTGCTACCCGTTTCTGACGCCTCATTTTTTTTTTTTTTTTTGGTTTGGTTTTTCAAGACAGGGTTTCCCTGTGTAGCTTGGGAGTCTGTCCTGGAACTAGCTCTTGTAGACCAGGTTGGTCTCGAATTCCCAAAGATCCACCTGCTTCTGCCTCCTGAGTGCTGGGATTACAGGCATGCACACCACTACCCAGCATCACCTCATCTTTGTATATTAAATAAAAAGGAAGGAATGTTAGTATTCAGGTTTCTGTACTGGCCTGTCCTTGGGGTTCTGACAGGATACGTCCTCAGCTGCAGCCACTAAGAGCACCACCTGTGCACATTCACTGTGTTCCCTTTTAAAAGGGCCCTGCCCACCTCCCATCCTCCTCTCCCTCTCTCTCTCCCTCTTTCCACTCTCCTGCTGTTCCTGTCTCCAGAGACTGGTCTCCTCCCTTCCCTTCCCCCATATTATGATTCCTTTCCCAGAAAGAAAAAAAAAAAAAAAAAAAAACCCTCTGCTTGAACCCTGCCACATGACATCTTTCTCCCAAGCCGATTTTCTTAAATTACAATACTGAAGTATGTAATCTGCATCCTTTGAATTTTCCTTTTTAAAATGAGGAAAAACACATATGCATATGTACACAAAGAATGGTTGAAGAAAGAACAGGTAATTGGTTACTTCTGGGAAGAGAAACTGGGTTGAAGAGGAATGGAAGAGAATTTTATATAACAAAACAAGAAACAAAGCTTTTAAGAAGTTTGCATCTAACAGGACCAAATCATCAAAGTCATAGTTATGTAAGTAATAGATCATGTCTTCAATGGGTACTTTGAAATAGCTCACAATATAAGCAAACATTAAAAAGAGATGTGTTTTCATCCATCAACACATATATACACACATTCTAGACAGCAGCTTTATAAAATCCTAAGGGATCCGAATTCTATTAATTAACATTTCCCTTCATTAACAGTAAAAAATTAAAGCACTTGTACACACACACACACACACACACACACACACACACAGACACACACCTGAAGCAGAACACCAACAAAAGGAGATAAACCAACATACCTTTCCCTTTCCATTTAACCTTTGCAACAGACTGGCTAAAATCCACATGTATTCTCCTGTCATCTATGAGTACATTATCCATTTTGAAGAAAGCTTTCTCACAGTCTTCTTCCTGTTAGTGATTACAAAAACTCAAGCATGAATGTTTACAGGAAAGATGTCTGCAACTAGAACGAATACTGCTAATACAAAAAGGTTATTACTAAAACTAAAATTCAAGTACTTCTTATATACTAGATATTAAAAGCATTGCATTTACTATCTCAATTAATGCTGTTAAGAACCTTTCCAGCATCCACCTATTATCTCCATTATCACAACGAGTAAACAGAAGTTTAGTGAGGTACAATATAGAAGTAGGCAAAGGTTGGAGCCATCATTTGAGCTGAGAAGGCATGAGTAGTGGACACACATACACTTACCAACTGGGTGATGCAAGTCTACAATTCTAGTTACTCAATATTCAAAAATACTATATCCCCAAAGTGAATTTTGTTTCCATAAATTTGGTGTTAAAAGTAATTTAGCAGGGTAGGGGTTAGCTTAGCACACACAAAGAACTGGCTGTGTTGCTGGGCATTGGTGGCGCACACCTTTAGTCCCAGCACTCGGGAGGCAGAGGCAGAGGCAGAAGCGAGGATCTCTGTGAGTTCGAGACCAGCCTGGTCTACAAGAGCTAGTTCCAGGACAGCCTCCAAAGCCACAGAGAAACCCTGTCTCGAAACAAACAAACAAACAAACAAACAAACAAACCAAAAAAAAACTGGGTGTGTGTGTGTGGGGAATCTCCAGAACCAAACAAAAACCTCTGGCAAGCCAGGCAGTCATGGCATACACCTTTAATCCCAGCACTCCAGAGGCAGAGGCAAGTGGATGATCTCTGTGAGTTCAAGACCAGCTTGGCCTACAGAACTAATTTGCAGGATAGCTAGGCTACACAGACAAACCCTGTCTCAAAAAACAAGAAACCAAACCAAACCATAACCAAACCCTGGAATTTTGGCAGCAGTATCTGACCTAATGGAGGACCTTTGGCCATTTTCAAAATCAACTTGGCATGACTAGACTTTGTTTTGGTGCAGAAATATTTTTGTAATTGACTACAGAGTGCTGGTCTGATGAAATACTCCATAACCAACAAATGGAATGTGGATGTCTGTCTGTTGCCACACACACACAGTACACCTGTCTAAATTCAGAAGCATATAAAATGGTCTGTGCAACACAAGAGCCTTTGTTTTACTAGGTTTTGTTTTTGAGGCAGAGTCCCAGGGTCATGTACATGCTAGACAAGCACCCTACAAACCAAGCCACATCCTTAGTGAAAAAGACTTATTTCTCTTAGTAATTTCCTGAGTTCTAGATCCATTCTGACATCTGAAGGCTACAATGATGCATTTCAACTGAGCACTAATTAATTTTCTTCTAGATGCTTAGAAACATTCTTTGTCTATTTACAACTTGCTAGAAACAATTCCAAGAGGAGCAGATAAAAGAATTAGTTATAACCACATTTATTTACCATGTGTATCAAAGAATTAAGCATCATTAAACTCTGCCTATTGCTTTTAGAGTACTGTCAGGCACATGGTAAACAATCAATACTGGTCTAATTAATTAGCTTATTTATACTTGAATATGCATAAATCAATCCATCACTATACTACTGCCCCAAAGAGAAACTTTCCAGATCTTTTTTATAGAAGGATTAAGTATTTGAAAACATTCAATACACTTAAACCTAGACAATAAGAAATCTCTTCAAAAGTGAAATTCAATCAAATGTGCATGAGCTAATATCATTTTCTAAAAATCCCTCTTGCCTACCAAAAGACTAAATTTTTGCTAGACCTGTGGCCAAGTTAATAAAATACCTTAACATAACAGATAATTGAGAACTATGTACTCAATCTGCTATCCTACTATGTTCTCAGTCTGTTAAGTGTAACCTGCCTTTATACCATGCCCTTGGATTTCACATGTAATCACCATTTACAACCAAAGCTAATCTTAAACTGTATACTCAATGCCCCTGACCCAGAATAATGTACATAGATGGGTATGTGCGTGTGCATGTTCATGTGCATGTATGTGTGTTTTAAGACTACTCAAGTTCGAGGCAAGTGCAGTACCTCTAATTAGATAAACAGGAGGCTGAAGCAGGAAGATAATTAGTACAACATCAGCCAAGGCAACACAACAAGAACCCATCCTTGAAAACTAAGTAAGAAAAAAACAGAACCTGGCATACTTAGACTATGACATACCTTTTCAAATTCAATAAAAGCATAACACAGGGATTCTCCTGTTTTCCAATCTCGAATAACTTCACAACTGAAAAGAAAATTTTTTTGAAAAGTCATTTTTAAAAAATCAAAGAAAAAAGAAACCATTTGCTCTAATTCTTCAGGCCAGAACAAAATAAGCCAGTTATTAAACTCATAGATGGCAAAGTTTTCAGGAACAAGTCTATTTAAACACACACACACACATACACACACACACACACACAGAGAGAGAGAGAGAGAGAGAGAGAGAGAGAGAGATCATTAATCTAGTAAATGAATTACCTAAATTCTATTGTAAATACACAAACTAGGCTATAGTGGTGGAAGTGGGAGCAGGTTTCCTTTTAACAAAAATAACCTGTTTCATTTTTAAATTACTTTATGTATTTTCACATTTCTGAGCCAAAATCTTCTTGTGATCCATGGTTGGCCTGGTACTCACTATGAAGCCCAGGGAATCTCAAACTCAACAGCAACCTTAATCCCTCAACCTCCTATGTACACTATCATATGCAGTAAAATCTTTAAATCATAAGGTCTTTTTTAGTCCAAACATAAGAGACTTAATGAGTATCTGTTACATACATAAGTGCTTAGTATGTTTATTCTTTTGAATTTGATGTAAGGACCCACACTATGTAGCCCTAGCTAGCCTGGAACTCACTATGTAGACAGGGCTGGTCTTGATCATAGAGACCTGGCTGCTGCTGTCTCCTAAGTGCTCAGATTAAAGGCATGAGTCACCTCAGTTTAGGCTTACCACACAGAGCTAATTCACCAAACAATATCAAGGGAAAAAGCCAAAAAGATGGAGTTGAAAGTACCTGACTTGTCTCTCCCCAAGTATCATATGAACCATTTCCAAAACCTTAAAGAAAAGGAGATCCTAAACACAGGACAAGTTAACCAGCTAGGAAATTAACCTTCTTTGACTAGCTTTGCATATTTCTACATTAATAATATAGGGGAGGGGCCAAGAGATGGTTCAGAAAGGCACTTGCTCCTGGGACTGAGAACCTGAGCTCATTCCCTGGCACCCACATGGGTGAAGGGGGAAGAAGCTGGGCAGTGGTAGCCCATGCCTTTCATCTCAGTACTTGGAAGAGGTACATGGATCTCTAAGTTTGAGGCCAGCCTGGTCTACAGATCAAGCTCCAGGACAGCCAGGGCTACACAAAGAAAAAACAAAATAATAATAATTATAATAATAGGAGGAAGAAGGAGGAGGAGGAGGAGGAAGAGGATGAGGAGGAGGAGGAAAGAAAGAAAAGAAAAGAAAAGAAAAGTAAGAGACTATCTCCTGCAAGTTGTATATATTTTCTAAAAAGCTAGTACAAGTTTATTTTTAAAATAATAATAATGATGATAATAATGGCTGGACAGATGGCTCAATGGTTGAGAGCACTGGATGCTCTGACAAGTTGTACTCCCAGCAGCATACTAGGTGACTCACAACTCTCTCTCTAGTTCCGGGATCTGGTGCCCTCTTGTGGACACCTCCAAGGACACCTACGCACTTGTGGTTTCTACTCATGAAGACACCCACATACTTTTTAAAAATAATAAGTATTTAAAATAAAATACTCAATGATAATAATATAGGGAAAATTAGCCAAAAGAAAAAAATTTTAACTAGGGGAGTCTGGTACTGTGCAGTGATGTGAGTTTGTAATTCCAGCACCAGAGAGGTGGAGACAGATGGATCCCTAGAACTCAGTGTGTCCAGCCAGCACAGTCTACTTGGTGAGCACCAGCCAGCAAGAAGAAACACTGCTTCAAAAAAAAGTGGACACTGCTTGAGGAAGATACCCAAGGTTGTCCTCTGAACTCACCTGCATATGCAAAACAAAAATAAAACCCACAACAACAAATCACAATTTTTTGTTTTGAGGTATGGTAATATAAACTTGTAATTCCAACTCTCAGGAGTGTGGAAGATAGGTTCAAGGCCAGAGTAGTATTACACACACACACACACACACACACACACACACACACACACACACAAATACATACACACATACACACAGCTGGACACAAAGCTCAACTGACAGAGTTTGCTAAGTATGAAAGAAGCCCTAAGCTGGATCCACAGAACCACAGAAACTGAGTATGGTGGCCACCTATAATCCTAGTACTCAGGAGGTGGAGGCAGGAGGATCAGAAGTTCCAAGTCATCCTTGGCTATATGATAAATTTAAAAACAAATATGTAAACTTGGAAATTTTAATGCTGCACGGACTGCTAATAATTTTAGGAACTAATTTAAATAAGATAAGCATTTTAAATATTAAGTAAGGTTGTTGAGAGTTTATACAGTAGACAAATTGTTTAACTCATATATTTCATAGTGAAAATGTTAAGAATTTAAGAATCATTCAAATATTTAATTTGTGCACATTTCTGAAAACACTTTTCTTTCCTACTGTTGGAACACTCACCTATACAAATCACCAGTATGAAATTCACCAAAGGGACAGGGAATATGTCTCAGTGGTGGAGTTTGATTAACCGGCATGATCCTCAGCCCCACAAAAATAAATAAATAAATAAATTTTTAAACTCACTCAAAATTGACAACCTCACCAAAAATGTGTAATTAGAAAATCTCTGCTGAGTGTGGTGGCATGGGTCTTAAGTCCTAGCACTCAGAAGGCAGAGGCAGGAGGGTCTCTATGAGTTCAAGCTCTACGTAGTCTGTATAGCATATTGCTGGCCAGCCAGGGCTACAAATGAGACCCTGTTTCAAAAGCACAAATAAATAAATAAAAAATAAAACAAACACCCACACCAATCAATTAATACCTAGATATTCCCAAATCCTTTCTCATTAATCCTGAGATTACCTTCTTATTGGCCCAAATCTTGAGAATATTATCTCCAGGTCCTCATCTGTGGTCACTGGATTCAATTTACACACAAACAACACATTTTCTGGAGGTTTAATATCTGCATCGGGTAGGTCTCCCACCTAAAATTACAAATAATCAAAGCATACAAATCAGTTCCTTTAGTTTCTATTACAAATATCTTATTCAAGCCCACGACACTGCTTTTAGAACCATCTAAATTTACATCATGAGCTATAGGTTCAGGATGAAAAAAAATCTAAAAACTATGTCAAGGGCTAGAAAAACGGCACACAGGGTAAAAGTGCTTGCTATCAATTCCAAGGACTCAGATATGTTAGAATACAGTTCAAGAATGGACTGGTATGAGATTTCTGAGTGCTTGTAAGAAAATTCCAAGAAACCAAGACAAGACTCTTGTGACCTCAGTTTCTTCAAATATGAAATTTGTTTCAATTAATTTTTTTTCTATTAAAAACTGTATTTTTCCTGGTATTGACAATATTAATAGCCAATGTTTTATTTTCACCTAACTTGATACTTCTGAATCATTACTGCTAATTCTTCAAGCAATACCACAATTTCCATTCATTCATTTACTTTAAAAATGTATTTATATTTTAGACAGGGTCTTACTGTAACTCTGACTGGACTCAAATTTGTGGTCCTCCTATATCCACACCTTCTGAGAACTGAGATGACAGGCCTATGCCACCACATTAGGCACAATTTCCACTTTAGAGACAAGTACAGTGACATCAAAAGGGGTATAACTAGGATATGAATCCAGATCCACCCTGGCTTCAAAAGTCCCAGACTATCACAGTTTTTCTTTTTTTAAGTATTTGATATATTATTTTTTAAAAAGATGTAAAGCAGAGGTTATGAAGTATAACAATAAAAACCACTGGGGCTAGTGTAATGGATAAAAGCACCTGCTACCTGATGAACTAAGTTAGATCCTCAGTGGAAGCAGAGAACCAACTCCTTCCTGAACATTGTCCTCTGACCATCACATGTACACCTAACATACACCCACACACAAAATAAAAATAATGCATTTTAGAATTAATGGATGAAATAAAAAACTACCTGGCTAGGAATGAATGAATATACTCCCTGGTCCCATTGTCCTTGCTTTTCTCACAAAGACTTTTTTTTTTGGTTTTTTGAGACAGGGTTTCTCTGTGTAACTTTGAAGCCCACCCTGTTCTCACCTCTGGAAACCAGGCTGGCCTCAAACTCAGAGAGACCCATCCGCCTGCCTCTGCCTCCCGAGTGCTGGGATTAAAGGCTTGCGCCACCAAGGCCTGGCTCACTTTCTTTTTTTTTTTTTTTTTTTAAGATTTATTTATTTATCATGTACACAGTGTTCTGCCTGCATGCATGCCTGCACAGCAGCTGAGGGCACCAGACCTCATTATAGATGGTTGTGAGCCACAATGTGGTTGTTGGGAATTGAACTCAGGACCTCTGGGAAAACAGCCAGTGCTCTTAACCTCTGAGCCATCTCTCCAGCCGGCCAGCCCCCACCACCACTGCACCTTTTTTAGTTTTGTTGTTGTTGTTGTTTCAAGACAGGGTTTCTCTGTGGCTTTGGAGGCTGTCCTGGAACTAGCTCTTGTAGACCAGGCTGGTTTCGAACTCACAGAGATCCACCTGCCTCTGCCTCCCGAGTGTTGGTATAAAGGCATATAACCGCAGCCACCACCACCTGACAAGATCACATATTTTTTGGCTACTCCTTTTCATAGTCTAAGATGTTTACCACAAACATCAATAAGCAATATATTAGTTTTGTTTGTTGGTGAATTTTTGAAAAATATGATTATGTGGAATCCACTCTTCCCTGTGTGTAATAACTAATTCTCCATACTGTTTTTCAATATGGAACCAGTTTCTACATAGTTTTTCCTCTTAAAGTCTCAACCTTAACGCCTTTTACTTTACAGACTAAAGTCAAGATCAAAGTCAGCTGCCGCACTACACAGACCACACTGAAATGCACTTGCTACATTTCCTACTAAAGACCACAGAGGGCAGCAGTGAGATAGAACCATGATGATGTATTTCCCACAAGCATTTTGAGGGCAATATTCTGCTATATGTATTTGAAAACTCTGTGATGATCATATAAAGAATCTCCTAGTGAATAAACATACCAAAAAGAAAATCTTGAAATTCAGAAACAGAAGAAGGTACAGAGCCACAAATCTGTTCAACATTTCTGAAGCCAATTCAAAGGCAACAACAACCTATCAACTACACCCAATGAGAAGTATTACAGCCAGGCCAGGCATGGTGGCACACTCCGGGCTGGAGTCTAAGCTACTTGGTATGCTGATGAGCCTAGGAGACTGAGACTAGCTTGGGAAGCACAGTAAGACCCTGTCTTTAAAAAAAAAAAAAAAAAGATCATAACACAAAAGAGGAAAAAATAGAAATCCATAAATGACAGAACAAATAAGAAAGAAGTTAATGGGGGGGGAACCCCACAAAACTTGCAGGAGACTGGGAGAGATGGCTCAGTGGTTAGGGGCATACACAACCTAATTTTGGTTCCCAGAATGTATGCCAGGAGACTCAAACTACCTGTAACTCCAGCTCCATGAAGACCTGACACACCTGGTCTCCATGGGCACCTTCGGTTACACATACTCACATGCAAACACATACATATAATTAACTGGGCTGATATAGCTAACCAAAGAAATGTGACTTATTATAGAGAACTAAATGATTAATCAGGTCAAAATAAACTATTCTCCAATATATATAAAATGCAGTATAATAAACAATGTTTAAAAGTTATGTGAAAACTAAAATTCAACTAATACAACTTAATGATAGCCTACTTTTTTTACTTTCTATTTTTACATTTATTTGTGTATGTGTGTAGGTGTAGTGCATGTTTGTGAATATGGGCGTGCACATGCAATGGTGTACATATAGAGGTCAGAGGACAACTTATAGAAGTTGGCTCTCTCCTTTCACCATGTGTGTTTTAGTGATCCAACTGAGGTCATCAGGCTTGTCAGCAAAGCGCCTTCACTCTTCACCTCACCTAACCTCTCCCAGTTTTTAAAAAGGCACTCAGTAAATTGTGGAAAAACAGAACCAAACTCTATTTCATGCTATTGTGGCCTACAAAATGTAATCCAGGAGGAAAAAAATTTCACTAAATTTTTACTTGTTTATTATCACAAAGAAAACAAACTCCTAAGAATGTGTTATATAAGTTACATAACATACATTGCATTCGAGTTACATTATGACTTTTTGACCAAAATTATCTTACCATCTCTAGAAGAATAGCTTGAGTTTTAGCCTCTTTCTCTGCCTTTATTTCTTCTACTTCTTCAGCTGATCTTCCTTTGAAGTCATCAATTTCCTCATCTGCTCCTATCCGACCACTCTGTAAAACAGAAGTTAAAATTTGAGAATCATGAAAGATACTATGTTTTACTCTTGGCCTATCAAAAATTACAGAATAGAAACTTAAAGCCTCTGGGCACTTAAATTAATTCTATAATATTGCCAGACTTGGCTTCTGACTTATTGTAAAATCAAAAGAAATGTTTGTATAGATATTTTTTTCCAACTTAAGTGTTCAGTAGAAATGATACATAACTTTAGAATTAAATACCAAACTAAATTCAGCTTCAAGAAAGCCTTGTGAACACCTTAAATTTACACTTTAAAATGCCTAAGAGAATGCTCTCTGTGGTTCACAGAAATACCTGGGTCCAGCCTGGCTTCAGAACATCCCCACTTCAAAAGCATTTTATAAGATGATCTTTCAGTCTGACCTTAAGGCTATTCTTGAGAGTTGGGTGATAGGAAAAACTTCCCAAACCACTGCTTATATAAGGTTTGAGAACTAAGACTTCTGGTGGAATAGAAACTAAAGAGAGAAATTAAGGAAATAATGAAACAACTACAAAAATAAGCATCCCTGTGGGTGAAAGAAGAATTCTAAACTTGCTCTAGGATAACAAACAAGATAAGCAATAGAAATACATGTTTTAATATACCTATACAAGAAGATGCTACTAGTTGGGTGTGGTGGAGAAACTCTTTAATCCCAGAATGTGGGAGAGGTAGGTGGATCTTTATGAATTTGAGGCCAGCCTGGACTACAAAGCTAAATTGCAGGCCAGCAAGGCTACATAGTGAAGAGACTGTCTCAAAGAAAAGAAAACAAACAACACTAAGGTACTACTTACATCTAATTGTTCCCTTGTAGGTTCTGGTGATCGATCAGGAATTAGTAAATCAGGAGGGTCATCAAATGGATCATCTAAAATCACTGTATGATTTATCCTTACAAAACAAATCCAAGTCAAATGTTATTTATTTCAGAATCCAAACTTACTTTCACAGATTTTAACATATAAGTATTCCTAATGTCCAAAGACTCCAGTGCATGGGTATTCCTGGCCTATAGTAATATACCTACAGTATACTTTTATAATAGGTAACTCTATCTCCTTCGTTATTATTGCTCTGTAGTACTCCATGATGTAATTAAGCTGGGCATGATGGCTGGCACCTGTAATCCCCAGCATTCAGGAGGTCAAGAGAAGAGAAGCTCAAATCTGACTCTAGCCTGAGCTAGAGAGAAAGCTTCAAGTAAGATGGGTTACAGAGAAAGGCCTTAACTCAAAATACACACAGAAAGAAGAAAAGAAAAAAGGAAATTTCTAAACCTTGTTAGCTGTGCCCTATTTTTTAATATTCTAAAAAAGAAAAATGAAAACGAGTAATTCTTACCAATATAACAATTAGCACAGAGAAAAAAATATAAAAACTACTTTTCATGAGGATTCCAATGATTTTATATTAATTCACAGTTTAGAATTATTCTGGAACTAGTTGTGATGGTTAATTTCAACTGTCAACTTGGCAAGATCTGGACACTTCGAAAGGGAGTCTATATTAAAGTGGTTTGTGGGAATGCCAGTGAGGGATTTTTTTTTTTTTTTCTCTTTTTCTTTTTTCCAAGATAGGGAAGGTTTCCTATATAGCCCTAGCTTTCATGGAACTTACTTTGTAGACCAGCCTGGCCTCAAACTCAGAGATCCACCTGCCTCAGCCTCCCAAGTACTGGGCTTAAAGCGTGTGTCACCACTAACTGGACTAAGGGATGGGATGACCCATGCTGGACATGGCAGGCACCATCTCATGGCTGGGCCGTGGACCGAGCACAGGCACTGATTACTTTGCTTCATCAATGTGAACTCAGGGTAGCTAGCTGCCTCAAGTTCCCTCCCGCCACTTTAATTACCCCTTACTTCATCCCTACTACAGCTTTGAGCTGTGAACTGAAATAAACCATTTCTTCCTTAAGTTACTTTTTGTTGTTGTTTTTCAAGACAGGGTTTCTCTGTGTAGCCCTGGCTGTCCTGGAACTCGCCTTGAAATCACAGAGATCCACCTGCCTCTGCCTCCTGAGTGCTGGATTAAAGGCAGGATTAAAGGCACCTGCCATCACTGCCCGGCCTTAAGAGTATTTTATCACAGGAAAATAAAAGAAACTGAGATTTTAGTCCTATGTGTAGAAGTCTCATTCATGCCATTACATGTTCAATATCAGTATTAAAACATTCTAGTCTATTAAGACAGTAAAGGTAAACACACCTGATATCTTGATATGGAACAAAATCCTTGTCTACAAACGTCTCATTGATTTTCTTAACTATGTCCATGCCTTCTGTCACTTCACCAAACACTGTATGAACACCATCAAGGTAATCTAGATTTTCTCCTGTAGTGATAAGAAACTAGACCAAAAGGCACATAATAAGTATTTTTTAAAAATATAATTCTGAAATAATGTACAACTCTAAAGAACACAACTTACATTTACTGTATCAATTATTGCACAATTATTTCTAGAACTAAATAAAAAACACAGACTTTGTTTATATCAACAGGTGCACAGTTGTTCCCTTGATCAACAACACATGTGTGGCGTGGTCTCATGTGTACACAATGCCCATGGAAGCCAGAAGAGAGCATCAGATGCCTTGGAACTAGAGTTTCAAAGCATCATGAGCCATAATGTGGATGCTGGGAATCAAACTGGGTCCTATGGAAGAGCAGTTAGTGCCCTTAACCACTAGCTATCTCTCTGGCCCCATTTTAATGTAGAAAAGAAATAATTTGATATTCCCGCCCCCAGAAAAATGTCCGTTAGTATATTCTCTCATTACTGAGTAACTTGAAAAGATAACGTCATAGGCTTCTTCCAGTTCTTCATGCCTAAGCAAAGCTCATCTCCCAGCAATGTCCTCACCTGAGATCCATGTTGGTCACTGCCATTGTTCACCATGGACACAGTGCCTTTCTTCTTGTGCTTAATCCTTGGCACTTTTTCTGCCTCAAAAAAGCTTGCTTGATCACCATACAGTTGTCTGAAAGTATACAATAAAGTTATAAAACTTAATAGTCTCAAAATGAAATACAGATACTGTAATTGTGTAATTGTGTCTTTATAGCTATCCCACTATGTTTCAAATATGCCTTTCTTCTTACAGGCATTCTGGGAACCAGGGAACTACCCTAGAATTTGAAGGATATTTTAACATGAAGATTGAACTACAACAATTATACTTTGCTCTTATTTAAGAATAAAAGGTTGAGGCCTGGCAGTGGTGGTGCACACCTTTAATCCCAGCACTCAGGAGGCAGAGGCAAGTGGATCTCTGTGAGTCCCAGGTCAGCCTGGTACAGAGTGAGAAACCCTGTCTCAAAAAAGGCAGAAAGCAAAATAAAAGGTTGAACATGATAGTAGACACCATCAATCCCAGCACTTGGAAAACAGAAGCAGGCAGATCTTTGTGAGTTCAAAACCAGCTGGAGTTGCAGAATATTTTTGTTTACACTGTATGAAGCTGTGTCAGTGTGACTGGTTTAATAAAGAGCTGAATGGCCAGTAGCTAGGCAGGAGAGAATAGGTGGAACTTCCAGAAAGGAATTCAGGATGAGATACCAAGAGACACTGAAGAAGTGGGGCATATGGTACAGAGGAGACGTAACCAAGCCATGTGGCAAAATGTAGATTAATAAAAACAGGTTAAGTTATAAGAGCTAGTTGGGAAAAAGCATAAGCTAAGACCAAGCTTTCATAATTAATAATAAGTCCCTGTTATTAGTGAGCTGGTGGTCCAAAGGAAAGTCTGACCACAAGTTGGGTCTATATTGTGAAATCCAGGTTACCCAGGGCTACATAGTGAGACTTCTAAATAAATAAATAAAGAGGGCTGGCGACATGACTCAATGGATAAAAGTGCTTGTTACCAAGCCACACAACTGGAGTTAGGAGCCCAGAATTTAGATGGTAGAAAGACCTGATTCCCTCTGATCTCCATGTGTACAAACATGTATACACACATAAATTAATGTTAAAAAAAACATTTTTTAAAGAATAAGTTGTACTGACCTACACACATGGCATGCATGTATACAAACATGTGCGTACAAACATGTATACACACATAAATTAATGTGAAAAAAAACATTTTTTAAAGAATAAGTTGTACTGACCTACACACATGGCATGCATGTCCATACACAGATATACACACATAAATGAATCAATGAATAATTAAGTAAATACACATATAAACCTGTACTTGGAAGGCTGAGGCAGGTGGGTTGTAACAAGTTTGAAAGCAGCCTGGGCAACACAGTGAATTCCAGCACAGCCTAGACGAGGGTGAGATCCTGTCTCATAAAACCAATTATATGATATGAACTGAGAACAGAAGTGATGAGAGAGAGGCACATCTATAATCCAAAACTTAGGAGGTTGAAACATAAGAGTCTTGAATCTGAGCCAAGTCTATAGCTTGGGCTACAGAGTAAGATACTATCTCAAAAGCAATCAAAAAACAAATAAAGGGTGAAGATATAGCTCAATCAGGAAAATGTATGTTTAGAATGCACAAATTACAGGTTCAATTGCTAGGATGTAAAACCAGGCATAATGGCACATGCCTCTAATCCCAAAACTTGGAAAAAGGAGGCAGGCGGACCAGTTCAAGCCCATTCTCAGCTTGATAGAGACTGAATTCAAGGTCAGCTTAGGATACTTAAGATTCTGTCTCTAAATACACACACACATACTGGGTTGGGTTTTTGTTGCTGCTGTTGTTGTTTTATCAAGTTGACAGAAGCTTAAGAGTTATATGAGAAGAAGAACCTAAATTGAGGAAATGGCTCCTTCAGATTGTCTGTAGCCAAGTATACAGAACATTTTCTTGATTAAAGATTGATGTAGGAGAGCTCAGCCCAGAGACAGTAAGTGCCACCCCTGGCAAGTAGTTCCAGGTTGCATAAGAAAGTACAGTAAGTCATGAGGAGCAAGCCAGTGAGAAGTGTTCCTTCATGTCTTCTGCTTCAGTTCCCACCTTAAGTTCCAGTCCTGACTTCCTTTGGTCATGGAGAATTACCTGAAGTAAATAAACCCTTTCCTCCCCAAGTTTGCTTTTGATCATGGTGTTTTATCACAGCAACAGAAACCCTAACTAAAATATATACATAAGAACTCACCCAAATATAGACTCTCCTCCACGGCCAGTCCCTGTAGGATCTCCTGTTTGTATGATAAAATCCCTCTACAATACACAGAATTATTTGTTAATTCACAGTTTGCTAGATGTTTCCAATAACAAAGCACATTACTAATATCTACCATCTTACCTGTACATTATGAATAAGGCAGTAATTGTAATATTTTATTTTGCACAACTTCAGAAAATTCAAGCAAGCTGAAAGAAAATAAAAACTAAATTTATTACTGGAAAGCAAAAATTCCGTTTAAAACAAATTTGTAAAAGCATAATTAGTACAATTTAATCTCTACGTTCACACTTTTTATTAAAAGAAAAACAAGGTTCTGGTGAGGTGGCTCAGGAGGTAAAGGTGCTTGCTGCCAAACCTGAAAACCTAAGTTTAATTCCCAGAACCTACATGTCAGAAACAGAGAACCAAATCCCAAAAGCTGTCCTCTGAACCTGTAAGCATTCTATGACACACACTCATTCACATGCAAACAATAAATAAATCTTAAAAGAAAAAAAGTAAGCCCAAAGCCATAAAAGGAGGCACTATGCCTCTTTAAGTCTTCTTCTTCTTTGAGGGTATAGCTACTGGCATCATGTTTGCCACACTGCAGTGGACGGTGCACTGTGAGAAGTATCAGTTAGACATGAAGATGGGAGGAAGACATATTGGAGGGGATATGGAAGGAGTTATAGAGGAAATGGGGATTTATATGCTCATATTTCACTGTATAGTACACATGGATAGTATACATGGATGAAAATCTAAAAAAATAAAGAAAAACTAAAAGGTAATATATTTTAAATACCATTTTATTTTCTTACAACCTTTTGGACATCAGAGCTAATGTTAGAAATAAGCAATTATTTATTTATAGATTGGTTTTTAATGGAAAAGGTAAAGATGCTATGATGAAAAGAAATCTAGCAGGACATATGAAAATGAATGCATTATATAAATTAGGAAAAAAAAAGCAAACACCTTTGGGACTTTTGTTTGTTTTACAATTAGTAAAAAAAGTATTTTAAGCCAGTTGGTGGTGTCAATTACCTTTAATCCCAGCACTCAGGAGGCAGAAGCAGTTCAAGGACAGCCTGGTCTACAGAGAGAGTTCCAGGACAGTCAAAATTACATAGAGAAATCCTGTCTCAAAAAAACAAAACAAAACAAAAAAAGCATTTCACAGACTTGGGTTGTACCTCAGGTACAGTAATTACCAAGCATTCCTGACGCCTTGAGTTCAATCCCTAGCAGCACACACACAAAAAAGGACTTTGCAAAAACCTTTAATTATCGTGAATAATCTTTCTCATATAAATTCCCCTGCATATTCAATAAGCATCTACTGTGTGCCTTGTGGTGGTTTGAAATGTTTTCCATAGGCTTGGGTACTTGAACTTAGCCTCAGCTGGTGACACTGTTTGAGGAAGTTATTGAATTTTTAGGATGGGATCCTTGCCAAAGGAAATTCATCAATGGAAGTGTTCATAGCCTCAGCCCACTTCTAGTTCACTCTTCCTGCTTGGTGTGCTCTGTTAAAGATGTGAGCATTCAGCTGCCTAATCCAGCTGCCATGTCTGCCCCACCATTACAAACTGTCCCCTCTGGAACAGGAATCCAAAACAAACTCTTCCATAAATTAGTTTTTGGTCCTGGTGTTGTATTACAGCAACAGAGGAGTAATACTGCCTTCTAGATGCTTGGCACTGCCATCACAAACATCATTAAATTATGGATCACGTCCTTAAGAACTCATAGCCTAATCACAGAGATACATGCTAGGATGGTCTTAAGACACTAAGAAACCAGACAGAAAGTAATATGCATGAGGCTCCTTGCCCTCAACAAATTTATATTTATGAGACTAGGGTCATAACTAGGTATGGTGGCACATGCCTGAGGAGAGTCAGGAGAAAAATGAACTTAAGACCAGACTGGGATATACAGTTAGTCTCAAAGGCTGACAGGAAAAGCAATACAATGAAGCTCCTTACAATTAAACATTAATGACAACACTAGGTATTTCTGATAATACTATCTATGTCATTTAAGTAGTAATTTTTTTGTTTTGTTTTGTTTTGCTTTGTTTATCAAGACAGAGTTTCTCAGGGTAGCCCTGCCTGTCCTGGATCTCACTCCACAGACCAGGCTGGCCTTAAACTCAGAGATCTGCCTGCCTCTGCTTTAAGTGCTAGGGTTAAAGGCATATACCACCACACTTGGCTCTATAAAATGATTTTTTTAAAGGAAGTTTTAAAGTGCCACAGCGGTTCAGAAGAAGGAATGTTTATAGCTGGGGAAGTTAGAAAACTACATGGAGACCTAAGGTAAACATTAAAAGAATTTGACTATAATATATCAACACATGCTACATCATAGATACAACAATTTTATGTATTAGTTAAAAATATATATCCTAAAAAAGAACTTGGAGACTGGTGAAGTGGCTCAATGGATAAGGAAACTCACTGTCAAACCTGATGACCTGCATTTGATTCCTGAAACCCACATGGTAGAAGGAGAATGAACTCCCAAGTTCTCCTCTATCTCTATGGGAGTGCCTTGGCAAATCTGCAAGCGTACACATGCACACACAGAAAATAATAAGTAAAATATATTTTTTAAAAGATAAAAGAAAGCTGGGCATTGGTGTTGCATGATAAACCTTTAATCCCAGCACTCAGTAGGCAAAGGCAGACAGATCTCTGAGTTCCAGGCCAGATAGGTCTATGGAGCTAGATACAGGACAGCCAGGGCTACACAGGGAAACCCCATCTCAAAAAAAAAAACAAAAACGGAAAAGAAAAGAAAGAGAACTGGACTGGCAGAGAGTTAAAAAAAAAAAATGAGAAAGATGAGGGTAGGGGACACCGCCCAATATATTAGTGCTTAGTATGCAGGAGGGCCTGGGTTAGATTCTCAGACATGTGTTGCCACATCTGGTCCCAGTTATACTTTTTTTCAATTATTTTCTCTTATAGATACACACTGAAGCAATTTCAGATTAAATAAATCCAGTGGAGGTAGGGGGTGCTGTGAATGAAACAAAATTAGCTATGTGTTGACAACTTGTAATGAAATTGGTCATGGGTACTTAAGATTTCATTTACTGATTATCTTTACTTGTTTTTTTTTTTTTAATTTTTTTCCAAGCAGGGTTTCTCTGTGTAGCTCTGATTGTCCAGGAACTTGTTTACTGGGATCAAAGGCATGCACCACCACACCTGGCTTGCTTAATTTTTTCAGCAAGTTAAAAAAAAAAAAAAAAAAAAAAAAAAGCAATCTGGATATGTGGATACGCTTACTATTGATTGACAAGTAGGTATACACATAACTAGATGCCCAATCACTCTCCTTCAAAAACATACACACAAGTGGACATGTTTTTACTGCCCCAAGCTTTCTTTGCGGGACCCCTGCTTGCTAATAATGTATGATAACTCTATCTCTGCTTCAGGAGTGCACAACTCTAGGGGAGAGGGTCCATTCATTATGTAAAGTGCTGCTCTACATGCAGAGTGTCAAAGAAACTCAAGGAAAAGGAAAAATAAAATCAAGAGATAACAATACAATTGCAAAGACTAACCTTGGAGCCTTTGGATTCAGCCACCCTTAGGCATCCAAGCTTATCCCAGCAACAGAAGGCAAATGAACACTTTAAGCTCCCTTGAGTCGAGTTTCTATCCCTTGACAGCAACACATTCCTATTCATTACTCACTGCACCAAACTACTAGTACATGTCCCAATGTGGCAGATGCTGTACCCGGTTCTTGAGATAATGGAGATATTAAGGTACAGTTCCTACTCTCCTTGCAGCACATTACTGAGAGGAGACAGCCAGGCACATAGTTCCAGGACAGTTAAGTATATGTTCTAATAAAATGAATGCCATTGTGGTTTATGAGACCATCACAGCCAGAACAGAAGAAACAGATTAACTTTGATCTTCTGAGCCTTGCACAGAAGAGCTCGTGGTTTATCTGAGATCTGAATAGGCAGGAAGTTCCTGGTAGGATAAGAGTGGTGAGGAACGTGGGCAGTGGCAACAGTAACTTGAAGACTGCAAGAGAAAGTGAAGTGTTTGTGGGTGGAGGGGAAACAGTTGAGCATGGGAGAACGTGGGTGTGGCAGGAGGCACAGTTCCTTACGTTCTGTGGTAATATCTCCATCCTGCAGAGGAAGGGCACTGGCTGTACCTGATCTCTCCTGGCTTCCCAGTTCTCCCAATGGATACAGTCCCCACACAGCTGCCTATTATCTTTCCAACGCAAGTGTGTTATACTATAATCCTTCTTCAAAACCTTCCAATGCTGTGACATTGGAAGACAAACGAGGCTATTAAGGACCTGACATACCAGTATCTAACCTGACTGAAAATCAGAGGCAACTGTTTCATTCCACATACCAATTCGTTCCAGCCATGCCAAGTCTCTTGCTATTTCCAGAAAAACCCCAAACTGCTAAGAAAACCTTAATTGCCACTCATCTCCAAAAGAGCTGGTTTTCTTGCTTGACTTCTTCATAACCCCACTAGGGAAGACTCACTCACCTGTGTTTTCCAGAGCAACGTGCACATCCGTCTATTAGGACTCTAAGTTAAAACTGGAGCCAGCTTCGTTCTCCCTCAGTGGAAAATCAGATTCTAAAAGGTGAGACGCCTAAACTAGCGCCTTGCTGACTGACTATCCACACCACCTTTCATGTAACCAGGAAGGATGCCACGGCCACCCTCCTGAAAACCAGACGCAGCCTACCTGCTTTCATCCTGGCAAATGATGACACGTCAAGCCGTAGTTAACTCTTTTCCTCTCACGAGTAAAGAAAGCGCAGCGGAGGAACGAAAGCTGTGGGCATCGCCTATGCGGGCCACCTTATCCACCCCCACAGAACGAAAGTCCTTCAAGGAGGACCACAGCGGAAACGGGTTGTACACACACACACGTACACGCACACACACACGACAGCTGTTTTTTAGGACCACAGCGGAAACGGGTTTATACACATACATATACACACATAGAGACACAAACACACACACACCCACACACACACACACACACACACACACACACACACACACACACACACACACACACACACACACACACACGTGTACACGCACACACACACGACAGCTGTTTTTTAGCCAAGGCCCGCCATGAAACAGCTCGAGCCACACACAGCGCAGGGAAGGGAACTTGGGCAACGGGTTCGCGGCCCCGCCGGGGCGCGGGGGACGCAGGACTCACCGCGCGGCCGCTCTTCGGTGTACAAGTCGATGACCACGTCGCCCAGAGTGGTCTCCAGGAGAACCGCCATGGCGCCGGCTTCGCCTCAGGAACAAACCCCAGGCAATGACAGGTGTCGCCGGCGCGCGTCTGCGACTTGCGTCACTAGCTGTGCGACGCGCGTGGCGTCATCCGGGGCGCCGTCGCTCAGCTTGGAAGCGCAACTTCCGGCGGCCTGTCGAAACGCGCTCTTGGCTTGTCTACTGATGTCCGGTGCGGCTGTTGTACTGGCTGTGGAGTCTTTTCGAAGCTTCTGCTTCGTCCTTGGTGACCCGTATAAAGGTCTGTGCATCAAGAGGGCCATTCTGTAGGAATATCGTTTCCATCCGAGAGCAGGGAGGCCTCCAGACCTGCGGCGCGGTCTTCCGTCACACTTGTAAGAGGACATCCCAGGGATTCCACAGTCTCTCGGCTCTCCTTCACAAACTCCAGGCCGCCGAAGAGGTGACTAATAAGCTTTCGGTTTTGTTTTGTTTTTTTAACCTACTATTGTGTAGGTAGCTAAGGACTGTACATGGTTCAGCAGCACAAGGAATTATTTTTGAAAAGTTTCTGCATCCGGATAAGCCTCTCCTCCGATGCAGCAATCCAAATCAAACCGAATTAGAAAAAGCCCACGTTTGATGGATTCAAGGCCCCCGGTTGGCCTTCCAGTCCCGCAGAGAGGAGACGGTAGAGAGAAACTGGAAAACCAGACGTCTATTTTCTGGGGGAGGGCGTCCTCATTTGGCGGTTTTCTGAGATGCAGCAGGGTTTGGAGGGAGGCTTGGGTGGAATTTCCACCGTTACATTCCAGATTCTTTGGGTATATGGATGCCAGACGCTGGGGTGACGCTTCCACCATAACATCCCAGACTCTTTGTGTATGTGTTTACGTCTGGCTTCTTCCTGCTGACAAGGGATGATGTGCGCTGGTGTAGTCGGAAATCAGTGGGATCACACTCAGAAGGTGGTATGAGGGAAGAAGTATTCGGTTAGCTGCCATCCTGTATGTCTCGGGCACCTATTCCTTGAGGGATAAGGCAGGTTGCAATGGTGAAGTTCCAGGAGCTGGTACAGGTGCAGGCGTTATCTGGAGGACATTCTGTGGTCTCAGGTTGGCCGAGGCAGGAGGAGTGAACCTGCAAGATATGCTGGAAAATGGGTGGGGTCAAAAGGGTCTCTGGAGACTGCTAGTTTTCACCAGATCAGATTTCTTGATACAGAAGCAGAACTTCTCCCAGGAAATTGCAGGTATCTGTAAGACAGCTGGAACAGATTTACATCTTGGTGTCATAGCAAAAGGCTATGGCTTTAGGTTAAAAGGCATAAACATTTTCAGAAGACAATCAAGAAACTAAGAACTCTGAACCTCTGAAGTTACATCTGAGACCTGTTACTCCCTGACCATGAAGCCTGTGAAAGAAGCACACCTGTTTGTACTTTAAGCAGCTTAACTAATGAACTATAGGTACTCTAGTCATCAAACACCATCAGATAGATCTGAGAGGGATAAGTAGATGAGCAGAAGTGAGACAGCTTTTTCAGCTAAAGCAGTTCCAGATTTTTCTGAAATGGGAAGGATGGGGACTTCCACCATAACATTCCAGACTCTTTGGGTATATGGATGCCAGGGGCTAGGGTGAAGCTTTCACCATAACAATTTTGTGTGACAAATGAGAATGCCACAGGCATCAGTCTTTTATATACAATTAGTTTAAAGTTTTTAATAGTTACTTATGCAGAAGGTGCATGTGCGAGAACCTGAGTGTGGTGGTCAGAGGACCACCGCCTTCCACCATCTGTGTCCTAAAAGTGGCTGTCAGGTCATCACAACCATCTGTCTGACCCTTCACTTTCTTATTACAAACATTCTGGTAACATGCTTCAATAAGTTTCCTACACTCTTTTCTAGCCAAACATATTTTTCACTTTTATGTAGTTTTTAATGTGTACTTGTGAAAATCAGAGACATGATATGACAGATCACAGGCATATCCAAAAAGATGGGGAGAAAGGGCTTTTTAAAAGTATAATTTTTAAAAAATTGTTTTTGAAACAATTTCTGAGCTAGAAGTATTCACCAAACGTGTGTGTTTTAAATAACAAGGAAATTAGGAAATAGAAGTTTGTAAAGAGAAATTTATTTACAGCCTGGTCCCATTTGGAAGGGTCTAATCCAAAACCCTGCACCTATGACTACCTTATACTTTAGAAAGTCATAGGAAAAGGGCTAGAACACATGTAGGTGTAACTATTCAGGAGGGTAATCAGTCACTGGACTTACTTGTGTTCCACTTATTAATGAAGACAGATCAAAGCTGTGGGTTACAGGCATCCATCACAAAGACAATATAATCATATATATTTGACATTATAATAATTCAATGTAATTATAGCAGAAAATTTCCCAAATCTAAGGAAGGAAGGAGGCATACCCAAGCTCAAGAGACTTATGGAACACCAAATAGGAACAGAAATTACCATAGCATTATGGTTAAAACACTGAATATATAAGACAAAAGTGTATCAAGAGCTCATGAGAAGAAAAAAACACCCGGACACTTACAAAAGCAAGCTCATTAGAATAATAGCTTAGTTTTCAATAGGAAGATTAATAGAAGTCCAAAAGGTGTGGAATGTATTTTGAATTCTGAGAGACCATGCCTACCAACCCAGACTACTATACCCAGGAAAACTATCTGATGGAGAAACAAAAACATTGTGTGATAATAGGAGGCCAGTAGAATTTATGACCACTAAGCTAGCTCTTCAGAGGATATTGGGAGAGAAACTCTTCAGACTGTGTGGAATGATACACATTAGAGAAAACAGAAGGGAAAGTAAAAGATGCTACAACAGACAAATGAGGATTAGGGAAACAAGAATGCAATGCCTATTGCATTCTCATTTGTCACACAAAATTGTTATGGTGGAAGCTTCACCCCAGCCTCTGGCATCCATATACCCAAAGAGGATAAAGTCAACTAGATGACAGATTAATACTTGCCTTTTCTGAATATTCATGGTCTTAGTTGCCCAATCAAAAAGACTAGCAGATTTGTATTTGAAAGAAAGAAAGGAGGATCCCTTTTTTGCTGCCTCCAAGCACCACACCTACGTCAAGAATGGAATTTATCAGCCAGCAGTGGCTCATGCCTTTAATCCCAGTACTCAGGAGGAGAGACTGTGAATTTGAGGCCAGCTTGGTCTACAGAGTGAGTTCCAGGACAAGCTCCAAAGATAAACAGAGCAACTCTGTCTTGAAAAAAAGAAAAGAAAGAATAGAGCTTATCTTAGAGTGAAAGGATGGGGAAAAGGTATTCAAAGCAAATGGAATTAGGAAACTAGTAGACATTGCTATTCTAATAGCTGACAAAATAAACTTCAAACCAAAACTATTCAGAAGAGACAAAGTAAATCACTTTGTACTGAACAATTGTCCTAGACATTGCAGTTCTGAACAAATGCACTGAACACAGGTGAACCCAGATTCAGAGGTTGAACACTGATAGATATAGTCTTGGATTTAACCCCGAACTCACCAATAGACAGGTTATCTATGAAAAACTGAGAAACTTTGTGGTTAAATGGCATCATAGATGAAATGGGCTTAAGAGATTAGAACATTCCATTCCACTCAGCAGCCTGTAGAACTTTCTCTAAAGTAGATAGATCATATATTAGGACACAGAGCAAATCTGAACAAATACAGAAAAATTGAAATAGCTTTGTATTCTATTTGACTATTATAGAATACAATCTAGAAAGCAACAGAAACTACAGAAAATTCACAAAGTAGAAATTAAAAATATCAAATATGATGAGTCGCGGAAGGAGAAGTTGAGGATAGAATATGCCAAAACCTATACATACAAAAATATACAACAAAAGCAGTCTTAAGAGGGACATGTGTATCACTCCTCCAAGGCCCAGGGACACTGGGGAAGAAGGGAGCAGTGTGGAATGCTGTCTTCAGGGATGACATGGCTGTAGCATTGCTGATCTCGCACTAGTTGTGATTATTTGCTCAAGTTTGAGCCCATAAACTATGTCATAAAAGGGAAGGGTTCACAGGTCTCCTCTTCTCTCTTCGGATTTATATATAGTTAATGATTGGAGAGACATTTTCTTCAATGGTGTAACCTCTGGTATGTGTCCATGCCCTTGTAAACAAACACATGTTCATGTAACTACTCTAATAAAACTCATTGGACAGAAAAAGACTTGAGACATTCCTTTTTAAAGTCTTATTATTTGGTGTATGTCTGTAGGTCAGTGTGTGTCATGGCACACTCGTGTAGGCCAGAGGACAGTTTTGCAAAGACAGTTTGTTGCTTCCACCTTTACATGGATTGTGGGTATCAAACTCTAATCACCAGGCATGGACAGCAAGTACTTCTGCCAGCTGAGCTATCTTGCTGGCCCTACAATATTATTCCTATTAGTCATTTATTTATATGAGTATAGCATGTTATCACCGGATCTAATAAAATTCATTTCTAGCCAGGCATGGTAATGCACACCTTTAACCTTAGCACTTGAGAGGCAGAGGCAAGCCAGCATGGTTTACATAGAGAGTTCCAGGCTAGCTAGAACTACATAGTGAGACTCTCAAAAAAACAAAAACTTTCATTTCTAAGCAGATTGACAATAAGATTACAGTAAAAACAGTTTTTTAAATTTCTCAGAAAAATGAAGTAAAATTTATAGATAACTTTGAAAATTGTCTTACATTGGATTACTGTTGCTATGATGAAACACCATGATCAAAGCAAGTTGGAGAGGAAAGGGTTTACTTGGCTTGTGTTTCTGAATCTGTAATCTGTTACTGCAGGGAGTTAGCATAGGAACAAAGACAGCAGAAACCTGGAGGCAGGAACTGATGCAGAGGCCATGAAGAGGGGTGCTGTTTACTGCCTTGCTCCCCATGGCTTGCTCAGCCTGCTTTCTTATAGACCCCAGCACCACCATCCCAGTGATGGCACCACCCAACAATGGGCTGGGCCATCCCAAATCAATCACTAAGAAAACTCCCTAGAGATTTGTTTACAGTTCCTGTACCTTTCTTTCTTGTTCTTCCTTGTTCTCTCCTGGGAGCCTTTGGGAAGTTTGAAATATGTAGTTGGCTAGCTGGAAAA